GGACTCTCAAGAGTTAATGGATTTATATGGTTGAGAACACAAAGATAATGGCAAGATATTATGGCTTGGATTTGTTCTTCAGAGGACAGTTGAGTGATGGTTCAAGCCCTTCAATAAAAGGACTTTATTTGTGGATGCATACATGTCTGCTAGCCTGGGATGAGAATAATAGAAAATACAGACATCACAATTTAAGGAACTATACTGTTGCTGGAAGGAGAAAAGGCAATCTGGAGACAAAGAGATGCAGCAACACAGGTGATCTGCCAATAATGGAGCATTTCACCTATTCCCCAATTGCTCTCAATGACAATGACTTGCGACACCACCTTTGTTGATGAAAATATTTTCCATTGCCATCTAACTCATTTGGTAGGTAGATGTTTTACACAGGATAGTAGAATCTTACAAGGTTATGTATGACTTGGGAGTAATTGGTTTTGATTTTTTAAATTGTGTGTTTTCCAACTAAGTAACTACTCTGCATTTAAAACATATATCAAGAAAACAACAATGAAGGAGCAATGTTGAAATATCAACTCCAGAATAAACAAATACTTGATTTCACCCCCAATATCATTTGTACATAATATAAATAACACTGAATGACTAATGGATTTCTGGATGGATTTTAGGCCTTCTTCACAGGAAGGAATTCTACATTTAGTATTGCAATGCTGGTCAAAAGACCATAGCATGAGAGCTCATAAGCACTAGGATAGAACCTACTCTTTTTATTTTGCCATATGGTGATAATGGTCAATTTGCCTTCTAAATAATGATGTATATACCGATAGACAGGGCCTGCTCTCCACTTCAGCCAGGGGAGCTTCCTTTTGTAGTGGACAGCAGTCATTGCAGAGATGCATAATGGTCAGAGAGCTGAGAATGAGAGACTGAATGCTCAACCAAAATGGGTCATCTATGTCAATACTGCACACTAACTGGGTTCACAGGGCATTGAAGAAAAGCAGGGAAACAGGAATAGAAAAGCTGGAGTCTAGAAAGAATGCTAGTCTCTGGACATGGCATTGTTATCATGTTCCTGTATTCACTCCAGATCTGGTCATTTCCATAAGAACTATATAAGATAAAGCCAGGCAAAACTTCCAAACAGACAGGGAAGCTGATCTCTGGGCCTCACTCCTCACCAAGGAGCTACCAGCAGTTGATAGCTCCTGGGGGAAGGAAGAATTCTTCTCCTTTAAAGGTGTGGCTACCCATAGGTTTCCCATGCTCTAGTGAATGAGCCACACATTCGGGAACACAGGGCAGTATTACTAACTTTACTCAGTTTTAAAAGACATGAGGTTAGGACAAATTATTTGAGAGACTTATGAAGGAAGAATTGGGAAGAGGAGGTGAATGTGGTCATATTTTATTGTATACATGTATAAAATTCTTTAAAAAATTATCAAAAGGAGAATCTATTCTTTTTCCAAGCAGCTATTCCATGTTTTGTCTTACCCTACCTGATGACATCTTCTCAGGTTTCTCAATGGGAATTGCAGTAGATATGTTTGCTATGAACCTTCAAAGGACAGTTCAGAAATGTGTGATGGGAAGAGGTTGGCCATGAACATCTCACAAGGCCTGGGGGGCATCATGTTTCCTAGAACCAGCATAGGACAGGGGTATTATAACAGACTGGGGCAAGATAACCACCTGGGTATCGCATTTATATTTAGTCCCTTTCCACCAGAGATCACAGTGGTAACATCTTTCTGGCATGAAAAAAATGTTGTATGAATGTAGAATTCTCACACCTCCTTTTGTCAAGGCCACTCAGATATTCCCCATCTGCCATTTAATGTGCCATTGTCTCCTCTTTCTTTGTACTTTCCTTTACACACATCTCTCCCAATCCCTTAATTTCTTGTCTTTTCCAGTTCCCTTTGTTACAGGTTACCTCAAACAAACCTTTACCAGACCAATTCTTGGTTCAGCCTTCATATCAAAGCCTCAACATAAAGTATCCCCATGGAGGAACCTTGAGAGTTGGTACTTTTCTGGTGTAAGCTGGAGTTCTGTCTCTGGGCAGAACTCTAGAATCTTCGAGGCCCATCAATTTTAATTACCACTTGATTTTGCTAAGCCATGAACTGCCAGAGTTATCAATGCATGTCACCACAGAGGAGGCCCTGATACAGATGTATTTAGTGGAGGAATAATGTTATGGAAGAATGCAATGACAGTTGGGTATGTGGAAGAATGTTCTATTCCTTAGAGTTTCAATTTAAAGGTTATCTACCTGATCTTCCCCAGAAATCAGAATTGTACAACACCCTGTTCTATCTCATGGCTTCAGCCAAGCTCTTCCTTTATAAGATCATAATAACAGGTGGGTCCTTCTTGGGTTCCTAAGAGTCATAATTTATATCTGTGTGGTCCTGTCTGGCATACAAAGTAGCTCAGAAAGTCATGGAATTGTAGAAATTTATAGGATGTGTTTTCCTTCTATTCTTTCCCATGTTCTCAGCACTGCACCTGATTTCAGACTACCACTAAAGTCATTGCTTGACTCTAGAAGACTGGCTTTAGGTTTCTATCTCCTTCTTTGAATTTATTTGGTTCATGAACAACAAATTCCAAATAATCTCAAGTTTATTAATGTTTATTTCTAACTAGTATGGGAGAAACTACTAATTATACAAACAAAACCCAAAAATAGACCTGAGGATGAAAACATACTGGCTCATTACCTTGGCAGGCATTTTGTTAATCATTTTATAACCAATAATAGAATGTCCATGTTTACATTATACATATATATTATGTATATTGATATATGTTTTATATATATGTATATATATATATACTTTAATAGAAAGAGACATAAAAAGGTCTTTTCAAATGAGGCATGACACATAATATTTGATGCTCTTATTTACAATACAAGAGTACACTTTCTACATGATGATGGTGGATTATCAGATGCCAGTTAGGGTTTACAAGGACAGCAGGACACCTAAAATAGGTGTGCTATGTAGCTGAATGGTTATTGCCATTAGTTCTCACTAGTCCAGACTGCAAATTGAAGTTAAAAATGGCATCTGATTATTGGAAAAGACAATGATCATCAGACTCATTCTGACTTCGTAAGTACTACTTGGTCTTTCAAATGACCAGGCATTGACAAATGCTGCTGCTGAGGATTGGAAATGAGATAGGAAACAAGCATATAAGACCAGAGGGCAGAGCTCCACACATATCCAGAAAGGAGAACTTGCTACCCATGAACCAAGCAGCAGCACTCATGTGAGTCAGAAGAACCTGGATTGTGTGACTTTGACAAACATATCCCTGACTCAGAAACTTAGGAAAATGCCCAATGAGAAATGCATACATTAAGACCAGGATATTAAGAAACACAGAAAAGACCTACAGAGCAATCCTGAACACAATATAGGGAGGTTTACCTTTGCAAAGCCTTCAGTCCCCTCCCAATACCACCCACATGTTTACTGAACTGCAAATTAATGGTCTGGAATCCTTTCCCATGGTCTGAATTTATTTACTGCATGTATGTGTATGTATGGTTCTTACATGCACCCAGACTCCCACAGCATTCTCCCCATGGGATCAGTGACCTGGAAATCTAGTTCACGTGATCAGGGCAGACAGGGTTCCATACTGTGCAGGGTCCTTCTGAAAAAGCAGTGGGGAGGGCTTTGTCTCTCCATTGTGATCCATGCTGCTCTGGGTCATGCATGTCTTCTGCACAGCTAAATGTCCGTCCTTTTGATTTTAGCCTACATAATACACTTAGATGGGGACAATTTTAAATATCCTGGTTATTTTCAAAACTTGTGCATCAGTCACTTACGAATAACACTTTAAGTTGGGTCCTCAGTCTGGCTTTTGTTCTCCAATCTGATCTCACTTTTGCTTCTGCTATCTATTAGTTTTTACAAATGTGGTCTTTCCTAGCCCTTTATTTTCCTAAGGCAAGACATCACTATTGAAAGATAACAGCACCCTTCTTAGAACTCCCCTGAGTTTCTTTACCCAGCATGCCTCTCTTGGAATGTCTTTCTCCTTGCAGGGAGAAGAGAAACAGCTGGCCATGTTAATGGTTTTGAATTGTTGCTCTTGCATGCAAGGCTAATACAGCATTTCTTTGGAAGTATGTCAGTAGGAGTTTCACACATGAATACATTCATCCGACTGCCTCCTTCTGCCAGGTAGAGTCTCTATCAATCTTCTCTATTTCAGACAGGACTTTAGACATTCACAGAAACAATTTGTGGACCAGGCTATGCATAGAAAAAGTTTAAGGAAGTGGGTGGAACAATTTGTTTAATATGCTCCCTACAGCTGTTTCTGTTTCTACCAAACCTATGTTTACCAGCAGTATCATCTTTATCTCCACTTTCCTTAAGTCACCCTACTTACAGCTGCTAGAAAACAAAAGATGGATTTATCACTTTACCTTGTGATTTCTTTAGAAAACATGGAGAAGATAAGAACATGTATAGAACAATTTTTTGAACAAGTGGTATGTTTGATCTATTAAGAATTCTATTTACAGAAGATGCCCTACTTCCACACAGAAGTTAACCTGAGTTCTGAAATGTTTATGTGCACTTAATTGAATCAACACATGATAAAGCTATGACCTAGTAACAGACTGGGAAATATCTAGTTAATTTGGATCAATTCTCATGAGCTAGGGTAGTTATAACGCTGAGTTCATCAATGGTAATTGTTCTGTTTCTTATTTTCTCATATTGTCCCTAGAAACATGTTGAATGAGATTCTAGGCAGCTAGACAAATTCAAGAAAACACTGTTGTCTTTTACATTGTTTGTTCACCTTCCCAGTGTCTCAATTACAAATGTCTCTAGTGTGCACTTCCAGTGCAGCTTCATTCCCCCATACCCTCCATCTCCTTCTACTCCACTCTCTAATTCAGAGGTATGGAAAAGCATGACATAGCTAAGAACTGAACTGATTTTAAACAGCTCTGTCCAGTCACCCAGGCTGCTCTGTGGAGGCCATTACTTGAAATAGTTGAGTCCTGCCACCAAGAAAAACTTCTCAAGGAAGAGTTCTGAGTCCAGCACAGCTATATGAGCTGCACGGCCAATCAGAGTGTTGGCAGTGTTGGGCAGAGCATGAAACACATTATGTCTGATCAAAGTGCAGCCCTTAGCTTCCACAAGAGGGCCCAGGAGGTTGTTGATCATTTCTGCATACACTGGCCCTGGAAGGAGGGAAGACAAAAAAAGAAATTAGAGCAGAATTTGGCAGTAGAGTCTAGAGAACAGCTCTGCATCTGTGTTGGCAGAGCACATAATAAGATGAGTTCCAAACTCATGCTAGTGGGTGCAAATAACTGAGGAATGGAATCTGATTTCTCTCTAGAGATTGCAATTGGTAGGGTTATCATGCCTTTCTTTAGATGACATAGTGACCTGGTGTCAGAGGCCACAGCACAAGTGAGAGGGATTCCTAGAGGAATGCTATCTCTTTGCAAGTGACTAAGAGGAAGAAGACTCAAGCAAGTGTCCCCAGAGATTCAGTTTCTGCTTCAGAACACCAGGGAGGCTGTATCCATATGTAAATCAGTAATGAAAGTTGGCACTTCCTAAATGTCAAATTTTAAGGTCAAGCAGCATTTCACTATTCCCTGTTTCTGACTGGGGAGGGAGGGCAATGAAAGTTTGTTGCTGTTGTTTTGCCTTATTTCTTATAATTAAAAGACTCAATTGACTGTATTTCTATCTAAAAAGTGACTCAGTTTCAGGTTTGCTTTGGATAGTGGGGCATAGAGACACGTGGTAAGATAAATCATTGAGCAATGAGCAACCTGTACACCAGAATCTACACTCCATATCTCCTCTATGTGCTTTATTCCTACAGCATATTCATGACAAACTTTATGCCATACAGGGACACCTGCTGGAATGATACTGAGGACCAATGTGGCTTTTTGATTCAGTGGGAAAGGTGGAAACCACAAGCTATAACATAACCTCCAGGTGTCCATTCCAACCAAGACTTGTGCCATAAAGCCAGAAAGGTACTCTTACTTTTCACAGAGAGGAGCAACTCTAGTGAATGCTCCAGTCAACCAGCTCCACTCAAGACATTGTTCCCTTCCACACGAACAACCACACATTGCTTTCCCTTTCCATCAACTAATAATTAGTGCACACCATTAGGGTTGTTTCTCTGAGTGGGGAGGATAGTGGACTGGACCATATGCTGAAAGCACTGCTTTTGGACTCTTAATCTCCTCTTTCAAGGTCTTGATAGTTTTGAGGCTGAGGAAGGTGAAAGGCAAACTAAAATAATCTTGGATTTCTTTGTGGAAATATCTGTCCTAATCTTGCCAATTTGTCTGAAAAAAATGGCTTGTGGTTGGAATAAGAGGAATTCTTCTTCCAAAGAGCCTATATGACTGCTTTAGAAAAGTAGCAAACTCATGTCCTAAAATCATATGCACAAAATGCTGCTTTTAGAAAGAAAACTGAAGTCAGTTAAAAGTCAGTATAAAAGAACTGGATGATGGGGAAGAGATGTGAAATGATGGACTCTAGAAGTGACACGGCTGTTTCATCCATGAACTCATAGCAGCTGCACAATATCAAGCCAGTTAAAAATTCTAGCATGGAGGGAGAAAGGGGCTCTAGAGGCCCACACCTATGAAGAGCTATTGGCGCCTGATGCCTTTTGAGGGATGGAGGCTCAATTTTCTTTAGAAGTGAAGCCACTGGTAGGTTGACACCTCAGTTGGTCACTAGACACCCATGTGTATATGAGCAAGAGTAATTGAACTCAGTGAGTTAATGGGAGATTTGCTGGGGAATGCTGGGGAAAGGGGCTGGAGGAAGGGAATGGGGATGGATATGACAAAGATACATTACACAATGTATACATGTATGATATTTTTAAAGGAATTATGAATAAAACACTTCTAAAGGAATAGATGATAGGTTAATAGGTAAACTGTGCTTGCTAGTCTGGTCAGAAGAGTCTCTGCCTCTTTTATAGATGCCTGTAACCACAAGATAACATTTGCATGTTATAACATAATGGAAATAGAAGCAGACTAGTGTTTTATAGACATTATAATCTGTTTATATTATATATGCAACAGGACCCATTAGGTCACTCATAGAAAGGTCAAAGTCACTCAGAATGTGTGATTCTCAAAAAGTTATTTTCTGCTGAGACACATTGTTGCCTTTAACTTAAAGGTAGGTCTCAGTAATTATTTTTAAGTATGCATACCACATCCTTAGGTATTTTTCTCAGATAAAGCAGTGCTTTCATGTTGGTTAACTTTAGGGGTAGGCACAAATTGTCTGAAATGAAGAAGTGACAAAGAAACAGAGGAGGTCAGGAGATTTATCACAGGATTTTTAGAAAATAGGATTTTTAGCAATACTTAATGAAAACAAAAGTAACAAAATCAACAAAAATCTTCCCACATACTCAAATAAATTTATGAAATAAGACACGTGTCTTTGATAACTCATTTAGAAGTGTAATGTAAACATGACCATAGGAAAAGAGGAGGCTATTTCTCTCCCTATCTCTGGAAAGATTTAAATTTTGTTTGATTATTCTTTAAAGAGGAGCATAAGTAAATGTCTCCAAAATGGAACATAGTGGTACAAAATGCAATAACTTTTAGCTAGTGTTTAACAAAATCTCAGATGCTTGCAGCCTGAGACATTCCAATTCTAAAGAAAAACACCATATGCAAACCCTACTGGATGCACAACTTATGTAAAACTCTTCCTCTGTAAAACTAGAATTACATCTCTCACAATGAAGAGGAAATGAACTATGCAAAGGGCATACAACTGTCCCTGAAACAGACAGACCACAGTTGTCAGCATTTGTGTTCTAACACAGGGCAACCATAACTTGCCAGCACATGAAATAGGCTCAGGAGACATACAGGAGTGTCATCAACACATGGCTCAAGTCTGGCCCTGAAGCTGACAATGTAAGCAAATGGGCATGGCTATAGGTTATATTTAGCACATGGAACATAAATTTGAGGGGCCCTGATTTATGCATTTACAAAGCTTAGATGTCAACAAGACTACTTGAGGTCAGGAGATGAGACATTAAACAAAAAAGAAAGCGAATGACCACAGAAGGAAAAGACTTGGCAGTCCACTAGCAATGACATGGTCTTCTGGCAGTGATGAATTCTGGTCAAGTCTTAACTTAAAACCAGGTCATCAACTCTTTTACACTGGTGTTAGAGTAGAGTAGTGTGCTCTAGGCAAATAATAAATCTAAAAATCAATCAGTTATCAAAAAGCATGAAATCAAGACTGGGTTGAAAATTGGTAGTAAGTGTATTTAAACTAATATCTAAGAAACAGAAGGGAGACAGCCCCCAAGGCACCCCAATACAACAGGACAGCTGGACTAATTAGTTCAAAGACTATTTGGCTTAGATTAATTTTGACTTCTTTTTCAGTAGCACTACACAAAGTCTTCTACTACAATAAGTTGTACATTTTTATTTAATCTTTATTTTATTGAAGTTGTAATTTATCCAGAAAATAAGCAGAATTTTAAAAAGATGTATGTATACATGATAATTTAAGTACAGGGAATTGGGTATATGCTAAACAAATCATGTTAAAATATTGTAGCTTGGTGTGTGTGTGTGTGTGTGTGTGTGTGTGTATGTGTCTATGAGTGCTTGTGTCTATGTGTGTTTGTGTATGTGTGTTCCTATGTTTGTGTGTATCTGTGTATGTGACTGTCTGTGTGCCTGTGTATGTGTGCTTCTGTGTCTCTGTGTATAACTCTGTGTCTGAGTGTGTGTGCGTGTGTGCGCGTGTGTGTGTGTGTGTGTGTGTGTGTGTGTCTGCATATGACTTATGCATTTGGGTGATTTTGGAGGGCAGAAAAGACATTGGATTCCCTAAAGCTAGTATCTGATGTGTGTACTGGGATAGAACTCAGATCCTCTGCAAGAAAAGAACATGGTCTTAATCACTGAGCTGTCTCCCTAATCCTTTCTGAAAAAGATTTATTTTAATAGTTTTCTATTTTAAAGAGTAATTTTCTGGCCAGCCTGGTCTATACAATGAATTCAAACCAGCCAGAGCCACATACTGAGATACTGTCTTAAAAAAAAAACAAACAAGCAAATGACATAAAAAATGAGTAATTTTTTGTGGCATGCTTTGGTTGCTTTCCAGAACACATACTAGCCTGTAAAAACCACAGTGCTATTTTTTGTACCTAAGTTATTAAGGTAATTTTTCATCCAAGTTTCTGTTAGGTTTTTCTTGATTCCAATAGAATTTTGAATCTTTACATATGAATACCTAGTTTGGGGGCCTTTGACAGACTCTCAAAAATCAGAATGCAAAAAATAAGAATATAACAAACAACACGTAATTTGGAAACAGTAATATATATTATATAGATATAAACCAATCAACCAAAGGAAACAAGGAATGCTAGTCCATCTCCTGGTCCTGGTTCCCTAGGAAATTCACATCCATCCTAATCAGTTGACTTCTCCATGGAACTCCAATAGTCTCCATCCCTTGTCTCATTTTCCTCTGGTAAAAATCGAATGTATTACACACTATTTCCTTTTTTTATTCATTGTACTTTTCCCTTAACACACTTGCTTCTCTGGTGTTCTAACTAGACAATAAAGACTTTAGAGGACAGAGACCATCACCCAAGTCTGTATCCAGCCTTCTATTTTCCATGAACACAAATGGAGCTTACCAGTTTGAGGCATCTGACAAACAAATGGCTGTTGACATCCTGTGAGGAAATATCCATACTGTTAACAGGAATGTGTGTGCACACCTAGACAGTGTGCTTATCCCACCACTCCATTCTAGAATCAATGCAGCTGTGCAGGCTACCTGAAGACTGAGTCCAGCTATTGCTAAAAACTATATTCAGGATTTCATAAATTTACTTTCACTTTGAAAATTAGAAAGTCCCTTTCAAAAGGAAATGTAGTTTACCTGTGTGTCTGTCTCTGAGGGCAGTTTTACACATTTCAATCCTGGCTGAATGAAACGGCACGTAACGGTCTTGGGGAGAAGCAACCAGAACAACGTTTTTAAAATACTGCAGCCCTGTAAGAAGAAGGTAGGTGAATGGTTTCTATCTGGGTCCCTCTGGATTGCACACATTTTGAAGTCTTCATCAGAGAGTGGCAGTGAGGATACACCGGACGCTTTGCTGGACTTTTGCACAGGGCTGATGTTTTGAGTGTTACCACATACAGCTTGGGAGGAGGCATAGCATGCTGTGAGACGCTGAGAAAGGTGGGCTTTTGTGTTTGGGACATAAGATAAAGTGCTTGACCTCAACAGTACAAAAGCCAAGGAAGCTCACAGAAATTTCACTGTGAGCACTGAGAAAAATGCAAAAAGGTACCTAGCAATGAGAAGAAAATATTTCTCTGTGGGCTAGGAAATTATGGAGCCCACAGAGAAGACAGTTTTCCATTTTTCTCCTGGATCTTTAATCCTAGCCTCTCCTGCCCTGCCATCTGCAGTAGTAAAGCCTTGCTTTGCCTCCTGCAACCTTCTGTCCTCTAAGCTAGCATTCTCCAGCCTCATCCTGCTCCAGCATTGCCTTCCCACATTGCTCCCCACAGGGAGAATGGAAGATCTTCCCACCCAAAAGTTACCACACCACAGTGATGCAGCATTTGGTACTCATCATGGACATCTGGGAACAGTGCACAACACTGCACTCAGTCCTCACCTGAAGATGGAGCTTATCCTACTTATAACTAAACAAGATGGTGGCTGACAGCTCTTGCTGGCCTTCTCTGTAGGTTCTCACACCCATATCCAAGATCACAGCTGAATATCAAACACTGGGGCAGAATCCAGAGCAATGGCCAGCTGATATGGACTCAGGAAGGACAAAGGTAACCCCATAATCTACTTCAGTGCAGCATTACAACAGCATTCCAGCTCTTGACTGCTCCGTGGCTGAAAAAAGTTAACACTTCAGTGCTGAACTTATTGCAGTTCAGCACATTGTATGTGCAGGTTTACCTCTCTTTCTTCCCACAGTAGGTAACTGAATAATCCTCTTGGCATAGCAAGACACAAGTACAAAAGGAATAGCTTGAGCTTGTAAATGAATTGGATGCAGGGGTATCAACAGGTGTTCCCTTCCTGGGCATAGACTACCGGTCCATTATTGATGCTGGTCTTTATTATGTAGGCTGGGTTTAACACTACTCTTTGTATCATCACCACAGGGTGAGGGAAAAAATAAAGGAAAGGAAAGTTCATGTGGCATACAGACAATGCTCTACTCACTCTTTTTGAGGATGGATCTACACCAGGTAAAGATGGAGCTATACAAGGTGAGGGTGGAAAACAGTCCCAGGCCTGCCAATAAAGTACACTACATGATAGACAGGAAGTAGAAGCTATACCTTGTGTGTACTGCATTGACCCTACACACACCATGTCTCCTGTGCTGATACAGGCTGACTGACACACTGGATAGCTTTTGGCCTCTCACCAGTTTGAAAAGATGCTGTTGGACAGTCCCAGCATACTTCACAGGAGCAAATGGGCACAGTATCAAAGTGAATCTGTCCTAAAGTCTCAACTTCAGGTGCCTAGAAAGCCACAGACCTGTTTTTTGGCTAAGTTGGTAAAGGAAACATTTGCGTAAATCAGCGTTATCCCTGAAGGTCAGCTGCAAAAGGGAGCCAGATTTCTTCAGCTTCTGCATGAGCCACAAGCCTAGGAAAGGGAAAATGAGGATTAAAAAAGCAAATTGAAACAACCAAAGAAGATATTTTCAGTTAGCTTAAAATAGAGCAATGGGACTTTTATCAAATAAACATGTTTTTATGCTATTCATTCCTTTGTTTTACACACACACACACACACACACACACACACACACACACACAGAGAGAGAGAGAGAGAGAGAGAGAGAGAGAGAGAGAGAGAGAGAGAGAGAGAGACATATAACAGTGGTTATTATGTAGATTTCTATGTGTAGAAAACATAATGGAACACATGGAATTAACTACCTGAGGTATCTAGGTTGGATGGGTTGGGTAATATATCTTTTAAAAACTTTTTATATTATTTCATGTTTATAAATATGAGGGAGGAAGTAACCAAATTAGAAGATAAATTTGGGTTTGTTCCAAAGAAAAGACTTTATATTTGTTATGCATATAAGTACCAAATAAGTCTTGAACACAAGTATCATTCTTAAAATTCTGGAGAGAATAATCATAAAACTGAGTCACACCTGGAAGAAAGTTTCAGAGTAATTGGGAAATATGGGAAGGATGGAAGAATTAGTAGGGAGAAAGTGCTCATTAGAGGTGACCCCAGTGAAACATAAAGGATCTAGCCAATCAGGAAATACACAGCGCTGTTTCATCTTTTGAGAACTCTTTGTTCAGCTTTTGTTTTGAAATTTGGTTCTTTGTTTTCTTGGGATTTAGTGTTTTTAGGTCTTTGTATGTTCTAGGTACTAATCCTCTTGTTAGATGTATAGCTAAGAAATATTTGTCTCCCATCTTTCTCTGTAGAGTTCTATCCCTGAGAACTTATTTCAGTTTGCTGATTAAACCAGCCTTCCAAAAACTTCCTGCAATCTGCTGCATTAGAAACCGTGCCCATGTTATATCAAGCCTCTTTTCTTCTCCCTGATTCCTGTCCCTTCCTCCCCTTCCCCTTTCCCTCCCAGCTCCTCCTCTTCCTTCCATTTCCTTCTTTGCTTCTGTCATCATCTTTTTCTGTAATACTGGGGATCAAATCCAAGGCCTTGGGAACACTAGGCAAGCACTGTATCATAAGATATATTCCCAGCCCAAGCCTTGCTTCTTCTCCCTCTATACCCTCAGAGTCTAGTCCCCAAAGTTGTGAGGGCCTCGAAATAATAGGTAAACAGGCAGCACATAATTCAGATATAAATGACCTAGAATAGATGATAGTTGGTTTGCTTCCTAATTTTATTTTTCAATCCTCAGCATGCATTCACCCACTTACATAACCATGAATGCACACATGCATCTGCACACCCACACAAGTCAGATCTCGGTCTAGGTGAGTTCCACATCTGTGGAGTCAACACACAGTCAATAGTTGTGACTCCTGGACATTTTTCTGGACATTATCTATAGACAACATTGTAAATCAATTTCTTGTATAGCATTTGCTTTTTATTAGGAAGTGAAGCCAATCTGGTGATGATATAAAGTATGAAGAAGGATTGTCCAGTTTACATGTAAAAACTATGAGAGTTTACATGAGAGACAAGAATTCTCAGCTTTTGGTATCTGTGAGGGTCCCAGAACCAATCAGCAATATATACTGAAATATAAATAAGAATACATAATACATTCCATATTTAAACAATACACAACATGATGTAATTATACAATACTGTAAACATGTATATACATATGAAAACATTCATTAGGAACACACACAGTCTCCATTTCAGAGAAAATAAATGAATATTGTAGGGTGAGAGGCCTTAGTCAAATTTAACAATTAGAAGATAGGCTCCACATATGAGAACAAACATAGTGTTTTTCTGTCTGTATATTATCTTAATATGCTATATTCCATTTGTATTTATTTCTGTAAGTTTGATAATTTCATTTCTTTGACTAAAACTCCATTGTGTATATATACCCACACTGTAGTACCAAATCTCCATCTACCATCCTACATTAGGGAGAGCCATAAGATTCCACAAATTACTTCTGCCTCTGATTAACTCTGAAGGATAATGAGGATGACAAAATCTTACCTGTACTGACCAGGGTGCTGTTGTTGTACAAAGTCCCAAGGTGAGGCCCAGACAATGACAGGAATGTGTGGAGTTTGTTGAGGTAATACCGGAACCGAGGCCTTGTGAGAACTGATCTGATGATAATGTTACCAAGAGAATGGCCAATGAAGCTGTTTAGAGGCAGGAAATATACATGTGAGTGATGTCAGGGAACCACTGCTCAGGGATGGGTTAGAATGAGAAGCACCAACATCTTAGCATCTTCCTCCAGGTACAAAGGACTTGATGTAACACATGGCCACTACAGATTCATTTTCATCCCGTGCTTGTGAATGGAAGCTCTAGGAAAATTTGGTGAGGTGCAGGAGAACAGTAGTGTTTATCTCATATCTCCATTATTAGAGCAGTCCCCCTGATGTCTAGTCCCTGGGCCTCCTCTCAGCCCATCTGGGGACAGCATGGCATCCTTTCTGAAATCCATATATCTAAGCATTGTGCTGTCCTGGTCATTTACAAGATAAAAACCCTAATCTCTTAGATTTCCCCAGGAGGCCATTCATCATCTTATCTCTGACAACTGTTCTGACTCCATTTATCCCTTCATTTCTCTGCACATGTATTAAACTGTCTGCTGTCACTTACACTGATTGGCCATTCTGCTACATGCTCTGTTTAAACTTCCTGCTTCCTCCAGATCTGTAAATTCAACATTCCATCCAGATTCCACTTAGTCCTTTATCAAACCCTATAATATGACAGGTGTGGCATCTTACCTCTTCTCAAAATATACATGAAATCAGAAAAATAAAGATACAGATGTTAGCCTGTAAAATTGGATTGCCTGACCTGTGTTCTGTCCTCTCCCAACTTCCAAATCCTTGTTTGTGTAATAAATACATGTTATCCTATCCCTGGAGACTAAAAAGAACTGACACCATGGCCTTAGTTGTATGTTGATGTATCTATATGCTAAAAACAGTATGAGCTACTGCCTTTGGACTGAGCTATCTAAATATTTAGACCGAATTTTTGTCATATTGTGAGAATACAACTGCCACTAACTGAAACCCTCTACTGGATAAGACGTTCCTTCAGGGTTCTAGCACATCCTTTTCCTGATAGTCCAAGTAATACACAACAAAGTGGAGGCTCAAAGATTTGAAAAGCATGCAAAAAGTTACATACTCAGTACATGGACAATCCTAAATTTATGAATTCAAAGTTAGAGATAGTTAACATTAATTTTAAGACTCTTACTACTTAGCAGCAAAATATTTATTCTTATCATCCATATTATGAAAGATATATGGGTGAGAAGCCAGACTTGCTACTCACTCACAGATTCATTAAGAGCCACAAATTCAGTTATCATAGTGGCTTACAGAAGCATCTAAAGATAATTACATGGCAAATACTCAATAACATGTCACCTATTTTCCCTCAGCATTAGCTACCTGTGGTTTACCTAATTCTGGATATGGAGAGGTTGTACAACTGGATGTGTTGAATAATCTCATCCAACAATCGATCTGTCATGGTATCAAAATCTGCAAATGTATCCATCTGGAAGAAAAAGAAAGAAGGTGTTGGCCTCTATATGAGGAATCCTCTTTCATTAAACAGCATGACATATTCTGAAAAGGTGTAGGAGTTGTAGTTTGAGATGTAACTTCAAGACAAAGGTCCATTGGGGCTCTAATAAAGAACCTGGGCATTTGTTAAAGAATCTTCAGTTAGGGGAATAAGGTAGAAGATCTGAGTCTATGTTCTTGGAATGTGGTGCCTATTGTCTCAACATGAGCTCACTGTGTCTGCTGGTGTGAACTTACAGTAGAGGAAGCAGGCCCTATGAGGGGAGACCACTTGATCATTTTGTGTGAGCCAGAATCATACCAAGACATGCCTGACTCCTGTACTCGTTGGTTTTTGTCATCTTGACACAAAATAGAGAGATCACGGAAGAGTGAATCTCATTGAGACAATGCTTCCACCAGGCCAGCCTGTTGGCAAGCCTATAGGGCAGTTTCTGAACTGATAATTGATTTAGGAGGGTCCAGCTACCCCTAAGCAGGTGGTTCTGGATACAATAAGAAAGCAGGCTAAGCAAGCTATGAGTAGCAAGCCAGTAACCACTGTTCTTCCAGCGCTCCTACTTCCTGCCTTGAGTTCTTACAGCTACTCCACTCAATAAAGTGAGTTGTGATATGGAATTGTAAGTGAAACAGACCCTTTCCTCCCCAAATTACACTTGGTGTTTATTACAGCAATAGAAAGAAAACTAGGCAAATTCTAAAGCCACTGCTTTTCACACAGCACAGTCTTCAGGTTATTCTACAAGTTTGTGCCCAGCCATCAGCTTTGTGAAAGATTTGAAATCCATTCTTGTCTTATGAATGATGGCCAAATGATAAGGGGACACAAAAAGAAAAAAGTAGAAATTCCATGTGTGTCTAAGTACTTAAAGACATAATAGATTGATGTATATATTTAAATAATGGGAATATTATTGGGAACAACATAGACATGTATTTAGGGTCAATATCTATAAGTGAAAATATCTTTCATAAACAGTGCTGGAGCAACAGCATCTTGAGACGCATGAGTTTCCAGCCAAAAATTCTCACAAATATTAATTAGGGTGGTGAAGAAGCAAACACACCCAAGGAAGGAGCAGCAAAAAGATGAGTGATCCTTAAGTTCATTGTCACCATCTTTCTATGAAGCCTTCAGCATGAGAGAGACACAGCCCACTGGTGCTTTTGCTAGCCTTCATGAAATGCAATCTTCTCTATAGCTCTAATTCCCCAGAGGCTGTGTAGCTTCTGCAGTCTGAATCTGCATCTCCTTTCCTATTAAAAATGGAGAGTGAAATGGAGAATGAAATGTGTTCTTTTTCATATCTTAAAGACTCTTGAAAATATCAATATACCTAAGATTGGTGCTGCTATTGTTATTACTTGCTAGTCTCCAAGAGCCTCTTGGCTCCTTTTGAAATTACTGGGTAGCATATTCATTATTTTACAACTCTTGTGATAATGAAAACTTCACTCATTATGATAAAAAATGCTCTGAAAAACATAGTAAGGCACAAAAACAATACTGGGAACTCAACAGCCAGAGTGTGCTTTGAAAGGACCATTAAATTCTGAGCTTTTTATAAGATTTATAATATATAAACAGTGAAATAACACAGTAGGACTTAATCAGTACTGAGTCAAATCCCTCCAGTTTAGTGACTTGCACAGAGACTTGGCTCAAACTAGCTTGTGAAAGCCATATTGAACCCATGATGGGGGATGTCCTGGAACATAATCACAGAGTATATGGAGGAACACACAACAAAGGGTGAATTCCTGGCTGGACCTTTGCTATGAACCACATCCAACATCCCTGAAGAGAATAGGGCAAAGCCAACACAAGGTCAGAGAACACTGGACAGTCATTATTGTACCCCCTTCTCTGAATGTCCTGGAGCATCTCCCTCAGGAAATGGCCCACATATGAAACATATCACTCAAGACATAAATGATCTGGAATCTTGTATGGCAGTTCTTTGAGTCAGATGGAGGATTCTCTGAAGAAATCCTAGGCTTCATGCCCTGTGCTGTAAAGATCTGGTGCTATTGGTAAGCACTGGAGATGCTTCAAAGGTGGAATAAAGAAACTGGAACATTCAGCATGAAAATAGTGGACCTTTGGATGATGGTTCTCCTAGCTCTTCCTCTATCACACAGTACCTCTTACTTACTGCCTGTTATGGGGTCTTGAACATAGAGTATCAAAAGCAGGCAAAGTAATTAAGCACTAACATCGGAGGGATAAGATGAGTCTTTTTGGCTTTTGAACATTTATTAATTTATGTGTGTGGGGAGGTCAAAGGACAACTTGGGAGAGTTTGTTCTTACTTTCTAGTATGTAGGCCTCAGGGATTGAACTCAGGCTATTTAGGGTTGGCAGTGAACACCTTCACTTTGAGTCATCTCCCTAGCCTGACTTCTCAGCTTTGATGTTTGATGGTTTTCTGTATAACCACCACTTTCACTAATCATGAGGCCTCTTGATTATTAACAACTCTGCTCCTCCAAAGGATGCTTATTACTCATTTTCTTTACTCTCTGATAATCCCTATTTCTTGCTCATTGATTCACTAATGTCACTTTGACTCATAGAACTTCTTACAGTCACAGCCTCAGTCTACCATGTTTGTTTGTAAAGCAGTCATAACCTGGTTCCTTAAGTTTCATATCTACAGGTGACAATGCTATGTTACCATTAGGACTCCATTGATGCCCAGATATTTGGTACTCTGAGCTACCATGTTCACAATGCCCAATTAAGCCAAAAGGATCCAGTCAGCTGATACATGCTAATTCCTATCATTATTTAATATTTTTTCCTTAGACTCCCAAAGCAATACAGTAAGTTTTTTTTCCTCTCCAAACTATCCAAGCACTTGGATATTATCCCTGAAGCTGCCTACTTTAATTCATGTGTCCATTTATCATCTGGTGCCCTTAGGAGACTCCTTTAAATTCAATGTTCTCTCAACCCAAAGTTTCTGCCATCATACCTGATTCTTTTCAGACATTAGAAAGTCTAATTTCCCACCAGGAAGCCCCAGTTCTATGAAAGTCTTCACCAGTCGTAGATCTGCACTGTTCCCTGAAAAATGACAGTCCTATAATTAATCATAGTGAGTTGCAAGGGATTTCTTTCTTAGCTCATTTCTCACATTACAATTGGATTTTTCCTTTATTTTTAAGCATATAACAGAAATAACTGAAGTAACTCCACATTATCCTCTCTTGCTACCAATCCCATGCACATACACAGAAGTGGGCTCTTTCATTTTTCTTTTTGCAGATTTTTATTCAATTAGAAACAAGATTGTTTTACATGACAATCCCAGTTCCCTCTCCCCCCTCCTCCCCTATCACACCTCCCAACTAAAACCCTACCTATCATATATCCTTTCTGCTCCCCCTGGATGGTGATGAGGCCTTCCAAAGGGTGTCATCAGAGTCTATCGTAACTTTTGGGATAGGGGCTAGGCCCACCCCTATGTGTGTATTCCTCTATGTGAAATGGGCTTCCAGAGTCTACACTTATGCTAGGGATAAGTACTGAACTACTACAGGAGGTCCTGTAGATTTCTGAGGTTTCCTCACTGAAACCCAGGTTCTTGGGGTCTGGTTCAGTTCCATGCTGGTATCCCAGCTATCAGTCTGGGGACCAAGAGCTCCCCAATGTTTAGGCCAGCTGTCTCTGTGGATTTCACCAGCCTGGTCTGGACCCCTTTGCTCTTCACTCATTCTTCTCTGCAACTGGATTCCAGTTCAGTTCAGTGATTAGTTGTGGGTGTCTGCTTCTACTTCCACCAGTTGCTGGATGAGGGCTATGGGTGGCATATACGTCAGCCATCAATCTCATTATCAGGGGAGGGCATTTAAGCCTCTCCTCTGTTAGGCTCTTTTAAATAGCCCTTGTTTGATGGAATTATTGCTTGACCTACCACACCAGTTTTTTTTCTTTCTCAGAACACCATTGTCTCAATAGCTTTTTGGAAGGGGCTACCTAGTAGCTGAGATGGCACAATGTGGCAGCCCCCTTTTAAATTACTTGGCTATAATTTATAGATAAATAGGAAGAGATGAATAATCAACTACAGTTCAGTTGTTTAAATAGAAGCATTACCCCTAAGACAAGGAATAATGGATTAATAAGCTGGCAAGTGTTCAAGAGTACCATCAAGTGACAAGGAATGCATGGTTGGCAATTCCAGGAAGTTGCTAGTATGAGAGGCACAAGCAGAACATAGAATATATTTTTGGCATTAAAAAATCAAATGGAAAGTGGATTTGCTATGACATAATAAGTTAGGCATACATTCTGGCCATGGGCATTCTACTGTATCTACATTAATCTATGGCTTGCTCCTCTCCTGGGTCCCTGTAGATTTTAAAAGGAATTGCAACCTATTTGGATATTTTGGTAGTATGTTTTTCCATGTAAATCAATCCCATAGGTCTTGGTTTCAAAGAACTTTTACACTGTAAGTGAAATTACAACTAATTTTATATCAGTCTTTATAAAATTTCCCAATGATTCAAAGGTGTATTAAATAAAACCACACGATATTAGGAAGAACTCAAGATTAAAGACAAACCTTCCTGTAGCCTATTATAGAATTTGATCAAACCTATAGGCTCAAAGTCATTAGAAGGTCATAATCTTTTAGGAGAAATACACATTTTCTCTGATGAAGTTAAATTTCTTCACTCTGTTTATGTCAATAAATAAATACTCTCTGGATTCACTTATTTTGTAGCCTAAATTTCCTTAATGATGTTTTAGGAGTGGTCTTTTTTAAAGAGTTGATGTTATTTATATTAACACAAAGATTTGGGAATAAAATATCCTTCTTGCCATAAGGTACTAAGAGTGAAAAGTTTCTGGAACCTGGAGTTTTCTAAAACAGTTTTATTTATTAATTTGTTACACTGAGAACATTTACAACAAGATATTTTTTGGGATTTTTGATACAACAGAGAGAGAGAGAGAGAGAGAGAGAGAGAGAGAGAGAGAGAGCACACACTCACACACACAGGAAAAAATGACAGAGACAGAGACAGAGACAGAGACACAGTCATTGAAGAAAGTCAGAGTGAGTCAGCTTTAATTTCTAACTCAGGATGGCCTGGAACTTGGTATATTTAGTATATACAGAATAGTGCAGTCTGGCCTCAAACTTGAGATCCTTCTGCCTCAACCTCCCACCCCAAGTGATAAATCCCATTGCTTTTAATGCTTACAAATTTACTAGTTCACAGAAAAAGGCATTTGATACCTTGGTGCTAGAGTTACAGGCTGTTGTGAACCATTCATCATAAGTGGTGAGAACCAAACTCAGGTCCTCTGGAAGAGCAGTAAGTGCTTTTAACCATTGAGCCATTTCTTTGGGCTCCCAGATTTTTCATTTTGCAAAGAATTTTAGAATTTTCAAAATGAGATGTAGAAATCACCCTTTAGTGACACTGAACTGATGAAGGTCAAGGTCATTCTTAACTCGATAAAGCTGAGAAAATGGTGTACAAAAGGTTATGCCTAAGTGGGAGATCAACAAAATAGACAATAAAACAGTTGCAGTCACTAACCCAGGCTCCTTAAAATACATCCTTTATTCCATCCCCTCTATCTCATCTTCCAGAACCATTTTACTGTCTCATAAATTCCATTAATTCCTGCATTTCATTCAGTTATTCAATCTAACAGTACATTCACTTCTTCATTCATTTGTTCCAGTCTCTCTTTTATTCAGAATCCTCATTCCATTGATTATACAATTCCTTCCTTCATTCCATTGATTGATAAAAGTCATGTCACTGAATTAAGTGTGTGTGTGTGTGTGTGTGTGTGTGTGTGTGTGTGTGTGCTGCACCATGCCATTTTCCTTGTAATGCTTTCATGGTTGCTATTGTTGCTTCTAGAGTGAATACCTGACCTAAATTCCTTACTTCCTAGACATAAACTGAATGTAGGATAGTAACCTGAGAAGAAACTTACCATCCAGGCCATGGACACAGACCACCAAGTGAATTCCATCTTCCAAGTTTTCTTCCTCTTCCTCTGGTGGAAAATATGGTATATCAGAAGCTAGTTCAGATAAGTCACTGTACAGAAATCCTTCAATCTTCAGTTCTTTTTTAAGCTTTTCTTTGGCCTGATAAAAACTGGAGAATATACCAATTAATCACAATCCATGCTGTGTGTTTCATGTTAGCAGGGAATGAATTGGGCTGGTGTGTAGGAGCGATGTAGGAGTGATGGGTATTCATAAATAAATTGTCTTCTGAACATCAAATGCAAATGAAACCTTAGGAGAAATGCCAGAGAGCAAAGCTTTGTTCTTTAATAAGAGAGAAAAAAAATCACCAAGTAAACCAAAGAAAGAGTTTTGATTCTGCAAGTTTCTATTTTAATCTTACATTGAGCAGGAGGCTGGGTAATGAGACTTACAAGACTCTGTACAGTTATATTACATGAGTATCTTTAAAATTATCTCTTGAGAGGATGAGTTCCTTTTCTGTCATACGAGCCCACCATGATTTAGCTTCCATCTGCTTTTCAAGTACTGTTTCCCCCTATTCCTAACAGCAGTGCAGGTTTTTGGGTTTTGTGTTTGTTTTGTTTTGTTTTGTTTTTGTTTGCTTGCTTTCTGGTTGATACTATAAGCTATTTGATTTGGCTTAGCTTGGTTTCTTTGTGCCTTGTTGTTTTCTGGATTCTAGAATTTACTTTTATACCCAGCTAAGATATTGTTACTGTGGTCACTTGACAAGATGGTGGTTAAGACTATTGATTTACAAATGAGATTACAAAGGTTAGAATCTTGGCTTTAAACCTTTTGATAATAGCTGGCTATATGGAATGCTTGGAACTAGAAGAGTTTTAGGTTTCGGTTGTTGTTATTGCTATTTTTAAGATTTATGGATGTATACATGGACATATAGATAACATGAGGATGGGACCATGTCTATAAACAGAATTAAGTTTTGTTTTCTATATGGCCTACGCACCTAAAGGTAAGGTTTTGTTTTGTTTTGTTTTTTGTTTGTTTGTTTGTTTGTTTGTTTTGAGGCAGGGTTTCTTTGTAGACTAGGCTGGCCTCAAACTCCTGGAGATCCACCTGTCTCTGCCTCCTGAGTGCTGGAACTAAAGGTATGCACCATCACTGCTCAGCAGAAGGTAAGGTATTTTAATGCAGTAGCTTTGCTAAAGTTGAATATAAAATAATTTCATGGTGCAAAATTCCCTACATTTGTGTTGTCATACCAGATTGAAAAATATTTTAGATTTCAATAGTATGAAAATACAAATGAATTGTAGAGTTCTTGTCCAACAAGAGCGAGGTCCTAGTTTTGATCTAGAGCAATACGAAACATATAAACTTTTAGATTGTAAATAATGTATAATTGTGGATTTTCAAGTTAGTGATACTCTAGTATTAACATCAGCATCCTCATCTACTTCTGCTCAGTGAAGACATTCTCTCCTCTAAAGAGTTTCTTCTGTGTCTTTTCTCTATATGTGCAGTCATTGTTCTGTATAGAACCTTGGCTCTACTGAACATGCAGGAATCATCACATTTGCTCAACACTGGCTTTGGTTGCTATTCTTGTTTGCCTGGTTTCCTGCAGTTAGAGCAGGGACAACTCTGATACAGCTTTGGAAAGTGTCTAGTAGCATTTCTTGAATTAGTGACTAATACCATAGGACATGCATTTAATACTATTTATTACACACTATGTCCAATGTTTTTTTTTCATTCATTTATTTAGCTCATAAATAAAGTCATGCACAATTATGATACAACTATGTCCAATGTTTATCTGCCTGGACTACTTCTTTATGTGAAAATCAGTAACTATTAGCAGTTGGCAAGAGAAGAATGAGTATGTACTCTGACAAAATACTTCTATTATGTGCCCAATAAAATATATAGGTAATAATTGAGGGCACAAGATGAATATAATGGAAGCTAATTATCAAGATATATATTCTACTGTTTTAAAAAGAGTAGTGGCTTTGAGAATCCCACAATCTTAAAGGGAACTTAGAAGGCAAATCTGGTGGTGTCATGTTCCTTCAAAGGTCCAAAACTCTCTTTTACTTTTTTTATCATTTTTTATTTGAATTAGAAACAAGATTTATTTACATGACAATCCCAGTTCCCTTCTCCATCCCTTCCTCCCCTACTACCCCCCCAACTAAAACCCTACCTATCACATACCTTTTCTTCTATTTATCAAAAGGTGAAGTCACAATAGTGGCATAAGAGAGTTGTCTAATAATAATGTAACAGAATTTCCGTAGCTACCCATTAAGAATTTGGTTAATAAGTCATAGTACATACATATAATGGATTACTATGGAAAAATTAAAATAATGAAAATGAGCTTATAGAGAAAGGTATTTTTAATATTTTAAATGAGAAAAATAAGTGTCACAATAATCATATTCTAATTTTAATAAAATGAATATGTTTAGGGGACAAATACCTGTATAGAAAATTTCAGTTTAAAATTATGTCATGTAGTTATGTTGGGAGATGGGCTTATTTGTAATTCTGAAATGCATGACATGTACATTATTGCTTTATTTAAGGGAACAAAAATAATAAATACCTCCATGTTTATATGGTTTTCATGAAATGGAAAACCTAAATGATTGAGGATCTGTGAACTGTGAGCTATCCATAAGCTTACCTGAGCATCCTTTCACTGACTTCTTCCAACTTTCTGGAATGGGTAGAAACAACTCCAAAGGAACCCAAAGGTTGATGAGTAATGGGGCTTAGGCTTTGTTTGGAAGAGAGTCCAGCTCTAGCAGGGGGCTCCTTGGGTACAGATGAGAAAGGGAGACAAGTGGCAGTGCAAGACACAGACAAGTTAACAACCTCCACTGCTTTTAGGCTGTCCAGAGTAAAGGCCTCTGCGGAGTTCAAGTGGGATCCAGAAATGGAAGTTCCTGTCTTCATCTCTTGGTTTCGTGACATTTGGGAGGCAATAGAGTGAGTCACACTGGGGCACACAGTGCCTGCTTCTTGACTGACCTCCAGAGAGGCATTATGTCTTCTATTCAATGTCATGGTATCATTCACACTTGATGAACCATTTTGTACACCTGTAGAAATCAAGTTAACAGCTTCAACAGCTGATGAACTACTGATTTCAGGCACCCTGTGGTGAGACACAGCCCTGGCTTCTAAGATGCTGTTATTAGGGAGTATGTGTTTACCCCCACTTGATTCTTTAGGTTTGCCTTTTGTGGTTCCTACTGCTCCTCTATGAACAGATCTGGTTCTAGAATTTTCAAGCACTATAGTACATGGTATTTTTAAGTTAAGACCTTTGGTTTCAACACTTGGTGGGTTCTCAGCCATGCCACCCAGACTGCAGGGTCCTTGAAGATCAGACTGATTCACTTTACCTTTGGGGATGTCTATGTACCCAGGGCCCTGGGGTCTGTCAGAATCTATAGCTATATCCGCAAGGGAATGTCCTGCCCTGACATCCTGGACCCTAGAGCCTCCATAAGAATGAAAACTGTGTCTAGGTGAATTGTTGTCCTTGCTAGAAATGTCTTCAGAAAATCCTCCTGTGTTCTTCATGGTGTCTGCATCTTCAGTAGTATCCTCGGGGCTGCTGATCTGGGGTGCAGAGACAGACTTGGTTAGCTTAGTAAGTGCCAACTCCCGCTCCTCATCTTCAAAAGGCAAAGAGCTGATAGAGGTAAGAGAAGCCTGGATGCCACTAGGCAGACTCGTGTTGCTTTCTGTATGACCACCCTCTAGAGAGTTCCTGTGGTGGGCATACCTTTGCACCACCTTATGTAAAACTTCCCGATCACTGGGTAAATCCAGGACCCTGCTTCGGGCCTCAGACAAGGCAACAGAGCTTGGTTCACTGTCAATGCCTGAGTCAGATATGATGGAGGCTGACCTCTTGATGATGCCAGAGAGCACTGACAGATCTTCCTGCTCTTCTGTACTGTCTTGCAGGGAAGACATGTTGTTCAATGGTTCCCTTAGAGCAGTATTCAATGGATCAAAGGGCTCAGCAGGGGTAAGTTTCAGGCTCAGCAGCACAGGCTTTCCCTCCTGGTCTGCTCCCCTTCCTAGAGTCCTGAAATCAAGGGCAGCTGTTTGGTTTAAATTGATGGCATTATTCTGACTTATTCCTGCTACAATTTTGTTTGGCAGAGTCTTAACAAGATCATAGCTTTCCCGAGATCTAATGTGCTCATGGTGCACATTAAGGCCCTGAATGGGCTCAGCTCTAGGGTGGTTCTTATTGCTAGATTTCACATCAATGTAGGTCAATGCAGGGGTCTTCCCATCCTCAGGGCATGGACTCCTGTGCATGTCCACATCTGAATCTCTCACAGGCCTTGGGCCAGTCCAGCATTCATCTTTAGGCATGACTGCTTTGTTTTGGAATTCACCAATGGTCAGATACACCTGAGATTCTGAGCACACATCCACAGGATTCTGTGTAGAGACATTCTCTTCTGTCTCTGAACAACTAATAACATTCTCATCAGAGCCCAACTGGGGTGTGTTTGTAGTAGATAATGGAAGGTCCTTCCCCAAAGATGATTTTTCATTTATAACATTCTTTTCTTTCTCTTTTAAATTCATTGTTGCAGTACTTGTCACTGGGACATCAAAATTAGGATCAACACTCAAATTATGCCCTACAACAAAAGAAGAAAATTATTCTATAGCTTACAAACCAATATTATAAATTTTTCAAATCCCTGATTGTATGAAAACAATTCAATGATCCTGTATCACTACTTTTTGAAGGGGATGACTTTCAGATTTTTAAAGTTCTTGAGTTAGTGAAAAACTTTCTTATTCAGGGGTATACAGATAGTTTATGATAACCAAGTGACTCTTGTTAAAACCCCAAATAGTTTATGTTTATGAGATAAACAGAAATATGAACATTATAAAACATGTGATTAGTGGGTTGGGGCAAGGGAAAAGAAATATCCATCAAACTACTGTGAAAAGATTGCATCTATGTGAGGCCAGTGGCTCATACAATCTTGTCTTCATAAGAAAACATCAATGAATAGTCAAGATGCCATGGCTCAGCTGAGCTCCTCAGATTTATGGATTGACAACAAAGATGGATACTCCAAGAGAAGAAAAGGTCCTGAGAATACAGAAAATTCTGACCATGCTTCAACCTATGGACCTTCTATCTTTCCTCTTCCACTATCTCTTTCTGTGTCTCTCCCTGTCATTCCCTGTGTCTCTCCCTCCTTCCCTCACCTATTGCCTGTTTTTAATTTTGAGAGATATGGCTGTCCTTTACTTGTAACAATAAAATTTTAATTATGAGCACAGCTCCGTCCCAAGTTCTGTGAGTCATCCCAGCATATTGTTAAATATGGTTGAATTACATGAACCAAGAATTTGTAGCCAGCCGCCAGAACTACAGGCTGTCAGTTTGCCTGCAGAATCTGAAATGAAATTTTGATTCAGAGATGTTAGTGCTTGTCTTGCATTATACAAACTAATAAAAGAGAAAAAAAGATGAGAGAAAAAGCAGCTATTTTCTCTTATCATACCACTTTCCTTTCATTTATTGTAGTACAGTTAGTGTTTTCTACTTGCAAATGTGAAGAGGTCAATCATAAGTGCACTGTTTACAGAGTGAAGATAACTTTGGAGCTGGGAAGGTCTGACCATCACCTCCAACACTGCCATTCCTGAGCACCCTAGGCATCCATGGACTTCAGGAAGCTTTTAGACCATCCTCAGCAGATCCACAAGAGCCCTCAAACTTTTCACTCACTAATAATTCATTACATAAAATGATGTTTTGCTTTCTGCAGAATAAACCCTGTAATAAGGTTGTCCTTCCTGTGTGAAAGATGGTAACACCACAGTAAAGCATGAAGCTTCTAGAATCACATCCATCTTCAGAGGCTGATACAGAGAACCAAAGCATGACCTCATATTTTATGTTTCCTTAGATGTTTTCTATAAGCTATTCTTTTTCATTTTCTCCCTCTTAACTTTGAAGTTTTTCTTTCTTCTTCTGCTCCCCACAACTGCCCAGTAACAAACATTTCCCATGTGCATCTTTCGTATCCAAAGATCTGAGATGTAACTCTGGACATTTCCCACATATAACATATAAACAAGAGGATGTTGTGTCTGTGTTCTCTTTACAATGTATAAGTCCCTGTCGGATGGACATCAAGACTGGTTCCATTGCCAGGCAACTGTAAATAGTGCAGCAATGGACACATATCTATCTCTGTGGTATGATTTGCAGTTCAATGGATGCACATCCAAGAATATTCACATGTAGGTCATACAGTGGTTCTGGTTTTGATTTTGTAAGAGACTTCCATTATAATTCCTGTAGTGGCTGTACCAGTTTATACTCCTAGCAACCATGGAGGCACCCAAAGAGGAGAAGGAGATCTGTAGAGGAGCAAGGGGGCAAAAGAGGGCAGTGGAAGATGAGGTCAATCAGGGTCCCTGGCAGGCCCTATATCCCTCCAAGAACATTTGGGAAACACAAATTGAACTTGATGAGTTTGTGTTATTTTATTTTTGTTAATGGAACAGAAATCTGGGTGGGTAGGGCCGTAGAGAGGAGTTGGGGATAGGGTGAATATAATCAAAATGTATTATATGAAATATTCAAAGAATTAAGAAAATAGGTATAAATAATAATAAAGAGACCCATTACCTCACTTGTTAATTTAGAAATCAAAATAAAAGCTAAAAGGCTTCGTGCAGCTTTAACAGAAGCTTAATCAATACAACTTCTATTAAATGTTATCATGAATTAAGTCATATATATACTATTTGCAAACCACATGAGGCTTTGATACATGATTATCTAATAACTTTCAGTGCAATTTGTAAAGAGACCGAGGGAGAAATGAATCCCCCCCCCTTTACCTAGGTGCAAACAATTAACCTGGAGATACTAAGAAGCATTTGCTTTCCTCTGAAGGCCTTTCTTCAACCTGCAGCAAGACCACCAAACTCTTTTGAAAATTCCCCAATGTCCTTCCCACCCACATGTCATGTTGTACATTCTACCACCATGTGATGACCCACTTGTGAACTCTTGTCCCCCAAAGGTGACAGCTTGTGAGCTTGTGTTCTGTCCCTATAGCCAGGAGGCTGACATCCTGTCTAGTACATATTTGATGAATTGTGCTTTAAGATAAAAACAGAAATCTAGCAAAACAAAGAATATTGTGCTCACTGATTGCTCGAATATTGTTACCTCAATGATGTTTATTTCTACCCAAGACTATACTAGCATGAATAGGCAATGGGCTGAAAAGATGGAAAGCAGACATTTGTTATAAGAAGAAATGAGCTTTTGTCTTGATGGGATTTTCAGAATATTGCGAAGCACTCAAAAGTGCAACCATTGTCTTGTTAAAAATTATGTGTGTGATAGAATCACATGCATGAAGACTGAAAATTATGCTTACTGGAATATTTATAAATATATTCAATTAAAAAGACTGAGAAACAATCTACACTCAATTCTGATGTGTAAATATCAGAGGTTCTTATAATTTGGTTCTTAATTTCTTCAACTGTTCACTTTTGCTGGAAATTATATAAGATGTATGCATTAATGTAAATACAAGCATATAATCACACACACACACACACACACACACACACACACACACACAACACACACACATTAAAAACTTACCAGTTAGATTGGAGGCTTAGTATAATTCAGTACATATTTCACTTGTCATGTACTTACTTGACACTAGATGTCAGAGTACAACTGGAAACCAAATTCATTTTCAATTTGCAAACTTGCTATTTCTCTGCTAGTCACCTAGATTCTGCAAATGCAGAATTTCTGAAATGAAGCCAATTTGAATTACTGTATAAAATGACAAGCAAACTAGCCTGGCTTAAAACACCTCGGTAAGATAATGGAGCAGAGCATAGAATTAAGGAGTTGGCTTTGGTTGCTTATTGATATATAGTCTTTCACACATACTTCTCCTATCTATGCCTCAGTTTCCCTCTCTGAAGTTGTACAAATTATTTAAAGAATTAAATAAATAAACCATTTGATTAATCCACTAACACAGGGCTTGACATTTTCTCATCATGCTTGTTGGGTCAAGTTACAGGGGAGAACAGAAAGAGGACATTCATTTCTTCATGTCTGGTCATTTTGCAGTTGACCTCTGGGTTCACTGGTATACAAACAATAGGTAAAACCTTGTTCTTTCTTTCCCTGAGATTTTTGTTCATGAATTCTCATAGCTGCACAGCCCATTTTCTTTTGTCCTTGACCTGCCTTGTGGCATTAAACATGCCCTTGAATTAGTGAGTGGCCAGCTAGAATGATATATAAAAACCCTTTCTCAAGAAACCATCAATCAGCCAAAACAACAACAACAACAACAACAAAAAAACCCAACCAACAGTAGCACAGAAAAGGCACTAACATGGTGTCACTGAGATTCAATAAGAAATGACTATAGTTAAAAGTGTACACTTGAGCCCGGCATTGGTGGCATATGCCTTTAATCCCAGTACTCGGGAGGCAGGGTCAGGAGGATCTCTGTGAGTTCAAGGCCAGCCTGGTCTACAGAGCAAGGACAGTCTCCCAAACAATACAGAGAAACCCTGTCTCAAAAATCCCTCCAAAAATCCCAAAAAACAAAACAAAAGAAAGAAACAAACAAAAAACTGTACACTTGAGACAACAAAAGATCTTCACTGGTCACCAGTCTTTGATCACTCTAGGGTGTGTTTGTGTGTGTGCGTGCGTGCGTGTCTAATTCTATAGGCAATTCTATAGGTAAAAACACAAGTACCAGGGATATTTTGATCCAGAAGGGGCCAGACAGACTTTAATGCTAACTCTTCTTTCCCCTTTAAAGAGAAAGTATTGCCTCAATTTGTTTACTCTTGTGAACAGTGACTACCAGAGTTCCAGTGGCACAATCTGCTGATGCACCAGTATTTACTTGGAAAACCTAATTCTTGAGTCTTTTCAAAGTAATAGAGACAGACAAACCTGAGACAGGGCAGTCTACATATCTGTCCTCAAAGATAACTGGCAGCGTATTCCAGTCACCGTCAATATCCAGGCACTCTGCGGGCAGTGGGGGCATGCTGGTGAGATACTCTGAGTTCCGGATGTCCAGGGATAGCTGGCTGTGGGTCTGTATCCTGCGGAGCATACAAAAAGGTAATCAACCAAATGGGACTGGAAGTTTTCATTAGTGTTAGCATTCTAACCCTAAGAAAGCATTAACAGGGTGTTCTGCAGATGCTGCTAATGACCATCTGCCTGTCCTCCAGTCCTTCTAAGATATCCCTCAAAATGGTAGTCTCCTTTTTGGAGGAACTAATCCAGGTACTAGTGTTGATGTAATGGATTGTGGTACTGGGTTACAGCTACTAGTTAGTGGAAGGTAATTAGTGCCATGCTACTAAAAGTTTAGCAAAGAAATGGCTACAGATCTAAATGTGTACTTTGGAAGAGAAAGTTAAATTTCCTCATCCAGAATCTTTAACTTTTTAAACTACTTAGAGTCTGAAGTAAGAGTCACCTTAAGGGCTTTTTGTTATCATGTAGATACTGACAGCTTTTGTTAGTGTGAAACCTAATATAATTAAAGAAACATACATTTTGTTTCTCTGTGGAGGAACTTAAAAGTTTATATTTGTTCTTCCTGCCTTAAACATCCTTCTACAAATAAGAATTTGATTCCAGAATTTAAAGTAATTACTACTTTACAATTTAAAGTTTGGAGGGGCACACGACTTTAATACCCTTCCGAGAAGAGAATACATTCATGTCATCTCATGAATGAAAAGCTAAACAATGTTTTATCGTTTTTGTATATAACCACTCAATCACTTTCCACCAAGTGAAGAGAAGAACTTATGGGATTGTAGGTTTGGGCAAAAACTGAGCATGTTCCTGCCTGGCTGCCTGGCTGCCTGCTTGGCTACAGCTCTTCATGAAGCAGGCTGAACTCTGGAAACAAACATCTCACTTCCCATCCATGTAGACTATCTATCTCTATAAAATAACTGTGGTTGTGTAACCCTATACATGTCCAGAACAAATTCTTTTTTTCTGTGTTTTTTTTTAATTTAAATTAGAAACAATCTTATTTTACATATCAATCACAGTTCCCTCTCCCTCTCAGGCTCCCCTTCTACCCCTCCCATCCCACTCCCTATCCACTCCTCTGGAAGAGCCAGGCCTTCCATGGAGGATCATGGAAGTTTGCACATCATTTGGGGCAGGGCCTAGGCCCTCCCCTATGTATCTAGGCTGAGAGAGTATCCCTCCATGGGGAATGGGCTCCCAAAGTCCATTCATGCACTAGAAATAAATACTGGTTCCACTGCAAGAGGCCCCGTAGACTGCCCAGGCCTTCTGACTGTCACCCAACAAAACAAATTCTTTAAGCTTCATGTCATTATCATCAACATGAGTTCAACACAAACATATGGATGATTCATAGCACATATAGACTTCATATAAATATGCACATAAATATTAATTATGGCAATACATATCAATTTTACAGATTAAATGTTTATCTTATATTTTATATTTTTCAGTTTCCCCATATAAGTAGATTTTTCCTCTTATTCAAATCTCTAGAGGTTGTTGCAACTTTATATCTCTTTGAATAATTAATTATTTGGATATTATAACTGGATATTTAAATATGATTTTGTTTCGGACAGTTCTGTCCTCTATCCCACCTTTGCTCTCCTGAGTATGTAAAGGTGTGGCCAGAAGACATTGGCTTATAAGCTGATCTACCTTCAGTGTGGAAAGGCACCATCTGACAGGCTGATCACCTAGATGGAATGTGGATTTGCAGGATGTACACTTTTTTTTTCTGGAGCCAAAATACCTTTGTTTTATCTTCTTATTTGATATCATAATTCCAGGTTCTCCAGAATTTAAATAACAACTGCAGCAGCTTTGGCCTAAGGATTTTTCTTGGGCACTCTGACCATTAAGAGTTGATAATATACTACTTGGCAATAAGCCCAGGTCAGCTTGAAGATTTTGTTTTGGTCTAGTGTCCTTGTAGCCACAAAAGCTACTAGCCTAAGAACAGGCTTGTCATATGTCTCTTGATTCTTAAAAATTGGGTTAAGGGTTAGTGAGTAAGAATGATTATGAAAGATAACTGTTTATCAATGTTGTCAAAACTTGAGGGAAATGATTGTAAATAATAATTCTGCTCTGTCATAGTTTTCTAATAATGACTAAAAGATGAATAAAAAGGAAGTAAAACACATGTCCAAAAACAAAAATATGATCTGTACCAGCTAGGATGCCTGGACAGTCTTTGGAACCTCTAACAGTGGAGCCAGTGTTTATCCCTAGTGCACAAATAGACTTTGGGAGCCCATTTCCTATGGAGGGATATTATTGCAGCCCAGATACACAAAAGAGGGCCTAGACTCCCCCCAAATGATGTGAAAGTCGTTGATGGTCCCCTGTGAAGGCCTCAGTATCCTTGAGGAGTAGGTGGGGGGGTATATTGCGGGGATCAGTGGGGGCATGGGAGGATGGGAGGGCGAGGGAATGGAGGGATTGATATGTAAAATAAGAGTGCTTCTAAAATAAAAAAAATCACTTTCCCCCTCACTTTCCTCCATCAAGCACCTCTCACCTCCCTTCCTCAGTCTTAAGTTGATAGACTCTTCATCTTAGATTATATTTGTTACATACGTATATGTATATGTATATACAAATACCGACCACTTCCCATTGGAAAATCAATAAGTGGGTTCAGCTCTGGAAGAGGTAATTCTTCTCCCAACAGTCATTAGTTGCTTATATTTCCCTGTCTAGTGGCAAGATCCCTTTTAGCATGCCTATTAGTATTGACATTGTTCTGATCTGGTTTATGCAAGCATTTCTAGGAGAGACTGTTTCATAACAGTCTCCCTGGTATTATATCCCTTAAAACCTTTTCCACTCCATCTTCTGTAATGTTCCCTGATCCATAAATGCAGGAGTTGTGGTATAGATATATCCACTGCAGTTGAAAGCATCATGATGTGTTGTTATCTACATTATGTCTGCATATGGTTTTCTGTGATCATCCCATTTATTTTAAAGAGACGTTTTTTTTTTTTTTTTTTTTTTTTTTTTTTTTTTTTTTTTTTTTTGTAAAGAGACGTTTCTTTTTCTTTCTTTCTTTCTTTTCTTTTTTTTTTTTTTTCGAGACAGGGTTTCTCTGTGTAGCTTTGGAGCCTATCCTGGCACTCGCTCTGGAGACCAGGCTGGCCTCGAACTCACAGAGATTTGCCTGCCTCTGCCTCCCGAGTGCTGGGATTAAAGGCGTGCGCCACCAACGCCTGGCTGAGACGTTTCGTTGAAGAGGGGTGGTAGCTACACTTTTATCTGAACATTGGAGAGTTAGGAAAAACAGTTGAAAGAGAACAGACATTTGTCTTTCTACATCTGGGTTAACTTACTCAGTATGGTCTTTTCTAGATCCATCCACTTACCTGCAAACTTCATGATTTCCTTTTGTTTTACAGCTGAATATTATTCAAGACTAGTCTGATTTTCTCTGAATTTGTCCTTATGGATGTACTCTGTTGGTTTTTCAGTTCATTGTAGTTCATGGTAGTAGGCATGTTTTCTAGTTAAATTGTCCATGTTTAAATTCCTCTGAAAATTATGTTGAGGGGACTATGTGGTGGTTTCAAGGAAAATGCCCTCCACAAAGGAAGCAGCACGTTAGGAGATGTCACTTTGTTGGAGTAGATTTGGCCTTGTTGGAGGAAATGTGTCACGGTGGGGGTGGGCTTTGAGGTCTCCTATGCTCAGTTATGCCCTGTGAGGAAGATAGTTTATACCCTGTTGCTTGCGCATCAAGATGTAGAACTCTGCTCTGCCAGCACCAAGTCTGCCTGTCACCATGTTTCCCACCATGATGATAATGGACTATATCTCTGAAACTGTAAGCCACCCAGATCGGATAACTAGCATAAAGTCCACGACCCCAGAGAAGCTAGGTAACAAGGAGAACCCTAAGAAAGACATACATGGATCCCCTGGGAAGGGGAAATACACAAGATCTCCTGAGAAAAGTGGGAGCATTTGGAGAGGGGGAGAAGGAGAGGGGAGAAGAACATAAGGGAACAGGATTGTAGAGATGGGGGAAGGAGCAAGGAAAGAGATATCTTAACTGAGGGAGTCATTATGGGGTTAGGGAGAAACCTGGTGTGAGGAAAATTCCCAGGAATCTGTAAGAATGACCCCAGCTAAGACCCAAAACATCAGTGGAGAGGGTACCTGAACCCTCCTTGCCCTGTAATCAGATTGATGACTACCTGTATTATCATCATAGAATCTTCTTTCAGCATCTGAAGGAGGCAGATTCAGAAATCCATAGCTAAGCACTGGGCCTATCTCCCAGAGTTCAGTTGAAGAGAGAGAGGAGTGACAATGTGAGGAAAGGTGTCAAAACCAGTTTGGGGATACCCACAGAAACAGCTGATGTGAGCTAGTGGGAGCTCACTGACCCTGGACTGACAGCAGGGAAACCTGCTTAGGACCAAACTAGGCCCTCTGAATGTAGGTTACAGTAGTGTGGCTTGGGCAGTAGGTGGGGCCACTGGCAGTGGGACAATGATTTACCCTTGATTTATCCCCAGTGCTTGAACTGTCTTTTTGGAGCCCATTCTCTTTGGAGGGATACCTTGCTCAGCCTAGACATAGCGGAGAGGCCTTGGCCCTGCCTCAAAAGTGATGTGCCAGACTTCCTTGATTCCCTATGGGAAGTCTGTCCTTCTCAGAGGAGTGGATGGGGGTGGGATGGGGGGAAGGAAGGGGTGTCAGGAGGAGGGAAGGGAGTGGTAATTTCAATTGGTATAATTATATTAAATAAAAAACAAAAATATGATCTGTGTTTTGGAGCAACATGAATGTATCCCTGCTTACTGAATTCTGTATAAATAAAGAAGCACTCTGGCTGCTTGTCAGTCAGGTTGCAAAATTCTCCCAACCATCATGGCCTGACTCCCTTCCTCCCCTGCTGTGACCTGCATCTCTGAAGGGACCAGCCCTCTGCTTTAGCAGCCATTACAGGCTGCAGGAAAGATTCAACATGTGCTTGCTTGACCTTGCTGGGCCTGCCGCAGTCACTAGGAGGTCAGATACCTTCCGCATGGCAAGGAACCAATCAGAAGTTAGCTGATGGGGCTGTGCTTTATGGCTCTGTAAATTGTAAATCTGGGTGTGATTTACAATTCAAGTGTACAACAGTGACATTCAGAGCACAGCAACCACCCTGGGAGGGCCTGTAGGCCATAACAACCAGTTGACCAATCAACACAGGACAGGTTGTGCAAGCCCAGAAGCACACCAATCCTGAGACTGTTGTATACCCCCAGACACTCCCCTTGCTATAACCAATATATGCCTTGTGGTTTCTCGGGGTCCTTCTCCAAGCATCCACTGCAATGAACAGACAAAGGGCCTGAGCTACCGGGGTTAGCTCATTAAACAATAACAATAAAAGACTCTTTTCTTTGGCATCAAAATGGGTCTCTTGGAGATTTAGGGGTTTCAGAATTTAGACACAACAATCTCCACAGGGGATGTGCTTCCTCTCTGTCCATCTCTTCTAAAAGCTAAGTAGTATCCATGTTTGATTCCTCCCATTGCCACTCTTACATCAACCCACCCGTCTTCAGACTCTGCCGTCATAGGGAGCTGGACTCAGGCAAAGGGCAAATCTGAATTATTTTGTGGTGCACAAGACACCACATGAGTTAGTCCTTCCTGCCCCTCCCTCTTATCTTCCTACTTCCCTCCATCCCATTCTCCTTGAATTCAAAACATTACTGGAAGTACTTCCTGTTGAATGAACAACTTCTACAGGGAGTCAATGTAACCTGGATCTGAGGTCAATTGTCACTTCCTCAATTTATTTTTTCTCTTGTCATTTTGTCAAAAATTAGTCCACAGAGTACACAAAATTCTACATAAAGGACAGTTGATGCTAGGCATCAAACTGTGTATGTCTCTTTCTAGCTTCATACTTCATGATAACTTGAAACACCATTGTGGGGAATTCATGTGGCAAAAATCAACAAATGCTGTATAGTACATATCCTGGTTTGGGATTCTAAGAAAAGTTATTAACCATTTATGAGAACATTAGCCATATCGCTTTCTCATTTCCTATACCCTTTTCTTCTTACTTACTTTTTTATACTTGTGACTACCTGAATGAGTTAATTTATATGTTGCCTATCTATCAGAAAGGGAAACCTACATCACTGCATTCTTTACCTCATGTATTGTCCACCTGGACAATTGGTGTTCTATCATCAATCACCATGTACATTTACATCACCATTTACAGAGGAAGATCTGTAGCTTCCACTCTGTGTACCAAGTGTGGATGTTCCTACTTTATCCTTTCATCTCATACTTTAGACTATTTTGTGGTGAAGGAAACTAAGAGTAGTGCATTGATTTCCTTTCTTGACGCTGTGATAAAATCAGCTTAAGGGAAAAAGAATTTATTTGGATCACATTTCTAGGTTATAGTCCATCAATGCAGAGAAGTCACAGTAACAGATGAAAGCACCTGGATAGTCAAAGTCAAGACCAGGGAATAGCAGATGCATACTACACTTAGTTTGCTTTCTTTATTCTTATATAATCCAGGATTTCCTGCCCAAGAAATGGTGTCACCTTCAGTGGACAGGTCTTCCCACCTCCATCATTGTGATCAAGACAATCCCCATAGACATTCCCTCAGGCAAACCTAATCTGGACCCCATGTTATGTGTATTCCCTTCCCAGTTGATTCTAAATTTGATAAAATTGACAAAAGCCAACCATCACAACTAGCTGCAGTTGAGATTAAATTGACTACAGAAAAATGATTTTTTCAAGGAATCACTCATTGCAAACTATTGGATACCCTGTGTTATGATACATGCATAGGTGTCTAGAGGACTGACATTCCAACCAAACTGTGCATGGAGAGTGTGATGGTTAATTTTCATTGACAGCTCAATTAGATTAGGATCACCTAGGAATCACAACTCTGGGCCCGTCTTTGAGAATTTTTCCAAAGTGTAACTGAGGAGGACAGATCCACCCTGAATATGGTGCCATCAATAAGGTGGGGTATCAGACTGAATGCTATAGGTCAAACGAGGAAGTGAACTGAGTACATTTCTTGCTCTGCTTGACTTAGATGCCATGTGATTAGCCATGACTTCCTGCCAGGATAACCATTTAGATTGTGGGCCACCCTTCTTCAAGCAGATGCTCTTTAGTATTTTAATCCAGTAATGGGAAAATTAATCAATATAAAAAGCAATGACCTCTGTGACTTTCAATTCCACATGTATTCACACTCCCTGAGAAAAAGATTTACACAATATAACACAACTACAAGGTTTTTCTTGGAGACTTACAGAAATGCCATGTGTTTTTTGTTTGTTGCTTGCTTGTTTTCTGTAGTTCTAGGTTTCTGTATTTTGCTCAGTGTCCCTAAAAGTCATATTTAAATTGAACAGATTTGTACTTCCAATGCTAGTTTTAGAATTAAAACTAGTTAGGTTAGTCAGCCAGTTCTAGCCTAAGGCTGGAATGAATGAATGAATGAATGAATGAATGAATGAATGAATTGATGTGCTTGTTGAAGATACTAACAATGTACAAGTCAGCTAGTTTCACAAGCAGATTTATTTTCCTTTCTATCCAACTCACTTTAATAACCTAAAAGCAAACACTAAATGTCACTGTAGTTTGCATACAGAATAAAACCTGTGGAAGAAACAGGGTTATATACACAAAGATAAAAGATTTCCCGGGTTGTCTTATGCAACAAGAAAATTCTCCCAACTTCTTCTGATAGATGCACTGTGGCCTCTGAAACATGACTCCCCTTACTATTATTTTTTGAGCAGATTATTCAAAACAAAATATTGGTAGCAAAAAGATCTTGGTGAGGTCTCATTATATTTTCCCCAGAGAGCCTAAGAAACCTCATCTCTCATCATCACTCAAACTTTATTGATACTTTCCAATTCTTTCTGGAAGAAGGCAATCCTAGAAAGGCATCATTCCTCCTGATTAGAGATCTTGGGCTTAACTACTATGTTAAATATATGTTTTAGCTATTGCACTCATTGGGCTTTTCTGACACAGCTTGTGGCCACACCACCTGCTTCTATTCATCTTGCAGGGAACTCAGCACAGATGTCTGCAGAGACCTAGGAAGTCTTGATTGTTCTTTATGGAATCATAATGGCATGTAATAAAAGAAAACTTTGGCTGTCAACCCTCTCTGCCACCTGCAGCTCCTGCCTCCCCAGTGTGTATACTTTCTTTGCCTGCACAGGATTGTAAACAGAGTGTGCAGAATGGAGCAGAGTGTCTGTTTCACCACAAGAGATGAAAGAAAAGGAAAGTGGGAATAAAGAAAGAAAGCTGAATGCCTTGGGTGGCCACTTTAACAGGGTGAAGTGCAGGTGTAATATATATATTACTTACAGGTTTTCCTGAAAGGTCAAGACTGCAAGTTTTTGGTGCTCCATATAAAAGAAAGCTTCAGAAAACCTTCGGACCTGAGGGATGACAACATAAACAGCTTAATTCCTCAAGTAGATACAACGTCCATTTTCTCAACTTGAGTGTTGTGTTTTAATGGAAAGAAAGCTGTGTCTATGCACAGAGGTCTCAAACAAGAGGCTTTCCACCCTCCAGAGCTGCCCACATAGTTCTACAGCTCTTAGCCCAAACAGTGGAGTGTGTGTTTATAGACTCATTCCTGTTCTGCTTTCATTTTTTTATTCAAGTTTTATTCTTTCTAGTAGAATATGAGATTTTTCCAAATGGGCAGTATAAATAAATGCACAACATGGAGAATTCCTAAAGCCAGCAGCATTTACTATGTGCTTTGTGGACTCTGGTCATCAGACACTTATTTCTCTTGCCCAAAGTGAGAAAATCAACAGCACTCCATATGTATTAATACATATACAGCCAGGATGAGGGCAACACCTTACATTTGAAAGTACTTCTTTTTAAATGTATGGAGACAGTTGTTTTATTTTTTATAGCCTTTTCTTTTTAAAATGTTTTCCATTTTTTATTTAAATTAGAAACAAGATTGTTTTACATGTCAATCCCACTTCCCTGTCCCTGCCCTCCTCCCCTGCCCCCCACTAACACCCTATCCCATTCCCTTTCTGCTCCACAGGGAGGGTGAGGCCTGCCATGGGGGATCTTCATAGTCTGTCATATCCATTGGAATAGGGCTTAGGCCCTTTCTGTGTGTCTAGGCTGAGAGAGTATCCCTCTATGTGGAATGGGCTCCTTAAGTCCATTCATACACTAGGGATAAGTACTGACTACTACAAGAGGCCCCGTAGATTTCTGAGGGTTTCTCACTGACACCCATGTTCATAGGGTCTGGATTAGTCCTATGCTGGTTTCCCAGCTATCTGGGGTCCATGAGCTCCCCCTTGTTCAGGTCAGCTATTTCTTTGGATTTCACCAGCCTTGTCTTGACCCCTTTGCTCATCACTCCTCCTTCTCTCCAACTGGATTCAAGTTCAGTTCAGTGTTTAGCTGTGGGTGTCTGCTTCTACTTCCATCAGCTACTGGATGAAGGCTCTAGGATGGCATATAAGGTAGTCATCGATCTCATTATCAGGGGAGGTTATTTAAGGTAGCCTTTCCCCTGTTGCTTAGATTGTTAGTTTGTGCCATCCTTGTAGATCACTGGACATTTCAACGGTGCCACATTTCTCTTTAAACCTATAATGGCTCCCTCTATTATGGTATCTCTGATCTTGCTCTATTCTTCCCCCAACTCAACCTTCCTGCTCCCTCATGTTCTCATCACCCTCCTCTTCTCCCCTTCTCATTATTCCATCTCTCTCTTCCTTCCCTCCATGCTCCCAATTTTCTCAGGACATCTTCTCCCTTCCCCCTTCCCCAGGAGACCATGTATGTCTTCCTTAGGGTCCTTCTTGTTTCCTAGCTTCTCTGGCAGTGTGGATTGTAGGCTGCTAATCCTTTGCTCTTTGTCTAAAATATGGAGACACTTGTAATAGTTGACTTTATAAGATCCACTATCATCAGACATAGATAAAAGAGATATTTTATGAATGACAGAATAGGTCTGAATGGGTTAGTGAGTTTTTATGTCACAATGGTCATTCCCAGTTGACTGGTACCACTGTTGAAATAGATAGATTGGCACAATGCCAAATCATGTTACTCTCAAAAAACCAACTCTTGCAAAATTTCTCCTTAAGTATAAATGCATGCACTCAGAGGGTTTATTAGCATTTTACTGTTTACCCTCAAAGTATGGTGTTCCTGGGTGAGATAAATAGTCACTTGGGAGTGCAGAGTCACTGTATCCAAGAATTGGGTCCACAGAGCCATCAAATGGGAGGCCAGCCAGGTAAGATCCTTACTGATCTGTTCAGCTATCTTCTCTGGATTATTCAGCATCTGCAGAAGTAAAACAGAGTTAGTCAAAGACCTAGCTCTATTGCTCCAGCTCCCCTCTTGGGCTTTTTGCTAAATGCTCTGGTCTTCTATCCTTTCACTCACATGCTATAATAATGTGGCACTATAACATATGTCTATTGCTTTATAATGTAGAATTGTGTTATTCTGTCTCTTTGAATGTGGGAGTTAAGGGAGGTAGCATTAAGAAGAATGAACTATTTAGCAATTCCTGTCTATAGATTAATATTCAGAGCCCATGGTCCCATACAAGTTCAGCCTGTGTCTATCCCAAGTCTATGTCTTCCCTCTTCATGAATGCTTTAAATGCAAGTTATTTCTAGATTTCCAAGAATATCTTGCCTAGTATGTCCTTTCTCCTTTTATAAATAGTTGCTATGTATTTTCAAGTTTCTATCCTAAACTTCTAATTCCATCACCTCAGAACCCAGTTTTCCTAAATGTTAGCATCCTAGTCTGGGATCCCTTCAGCATGGCCTTTGCACTATAGCACCAAAGTAGGTTCAGCCATAGCATCCTCCCCCACACGCCCAGAGCAATGATCCTTGCACTGGAATCTACTCTGTATTTCATTAAACTCTGAATTCTGTGCTTTATAATCACAATGACTACCACTTACTAATACTGATCATTTGTCAGGTGGAGGACCTGACATTTTATACATGCTTCACATTCAATACATACAACCATCTGCCATGTAAAATATTAGAGCCATCCTTTCACAGAAGTAAAATAATGGCAATTTAATAGAATGTCCAATTTTCACCCAGCTAGGAAGGAGTCTCTAACCATGAAACCACATGGTCTAGCTCAGTAGCTATTTAAAAATATCTCAGGAAAAAAGATACTCCTTATAATGCCAGAATACTTAACTAGCCATGTCACTAGTCAGGCTCTCAGTGGCTATAACCCATCATTATCTTACTTGCCACTCCTTAAGGAGGATTCCAGGTTGCCTTAATTACAATGTAAGTCAATCAGACTACAGTGGGTCTGGAGTGTTTGGAGAAGATGCTTTTGATGAGAACATGTTGGTCAGGTTTAGAATGGGGAGGTCCATATTCGAAGGGAGAAACTTGAATTATGGGAAGGTGAGAAGATAAAAATGCTACTTTTTAGGAGTAATAAGAAGCCTGCCCACTGAGCTCCAGGTTTCATCAATACACAACCATTCATGAGCATCTTTCTTGTCTCACTAACATGTTTGGCAAAAGAAGGACACGTGATTAATAAGAGAGAGCCTCTGTCTTTGTAATTGCAGAGATAGGAATGCAGACCAGCAAGAGTGGTGTAGAGTTTTCACAAAGCCACAGCCATTCAAATCCAGTCATTTTCCTTCTTTTGCCCTGTGCCCCAGTTTTCTCAATGAATGCAGAAAGCAAAGAAATGCTTCCAGATACAACTTTGTAATTGTTATTGAGGTTTGATTCTGGATGAAGGTAAAGCAGGTGAAAAGAGTTATCTAAGAGCAAGAGAGCACCAAAGGAGATGTTTGTTACACAGTGAGGCTTTTAACACTTGGAGGTTCTTGTTTCATCATTATGACTAGCTTCAAGATTCAAGCCTCCAGTTAAACACAACATCTTCTAAGAGGTTCATTCACTGATGACCATTGATAGCTCAGTCCCACACAGCATCATGACTGGTCAGAGACGAAGAAGGAAGGGTACAGGGGAGTAGACTTGTTTTCCAGGTCATTACCCTTCTTCCTGCTTCCTAAATAAACTGTCCTCTTTCAGACTGTTTCTCCATCTCAGCTGCATGTGCCAATCACTGGGAGGATCAGGTCTGTCCATGTGTTCACAGAAGGCTGAATCCATCTCAAAATCTCTGAGGGAGATCCAGTCTAGATACTAGAACTTTTAAAATGCTTCCCAAATCATCATAATGTAAACCCTGGTCCTAACCTCCTTGCTTGCCTATGGCTTCTGCCTATGTTCATTATTTGTACATAAAGCAAACCCCAGAAGTTCGTGTGTTAAATGTTGTGTTCCCAATTACAATTACTGTTTTGAGAAAGGATGGAAAAAATGACGTTTTTTTGGCCTATCCTAGGTATAAAAAATAGGCCACCAGGAGCCCTGGGGTTAAGTTTTGCCCCAAGGAGTTGCTGAAACACATAGAGTATAAGACACCTACGGTATCTGATGGACAGATGAAAGGACATGATTTTGTGGCATTCTCATCCTTGCTAAGTAATCATTCTGTTGGTGATCAAAACCACTAGAGCTTAAACAAGGTCCAGGTCCAAACTGTGGATGTGCTATCTGTATGAGATGTTCTGTGGCACCCAAACGAAATTCACAAAGTCTGCCACACAGGGGCATGTAGACATAAGAGAGAGACTCCAAAACACAGAAATCCTGTGCCCCTGCCAATCCCCACTACTCTTGGCAGTCTCTCTATAATGAAAGTTCTAATGTACTATGAAGCGCTAGTGTTGGGCTCTGAAGAGATTGGCTAGACGAAGGAAGTAGAGGTAAGAGTAACTATAGCAGAAGGTGCATAACTGTTTTGAGCAAGACAAAAGAGACAGAAGTCCTAAATTCCCACTCAACAGAGTCTTCCACACATCATTTGAAAATCAGTAGAATGGTGTGTGTGTGTGTGTGTGTGTGTGTGTGTGTGTGTGTGTGCCCATTATGGGGTCCTAACATTTTTTCTGCCTCCTTGAACTCAAGGTCAGCTTCTCCATAGCAAGGACTTGAGGAATCACCTTGCTCAGCTGTCTAGTCTTGGTCAGGGTATCCTTTCAGACCATCAGCCTTGTAAGGTTAATTCCTGGCTTGAATCAAGGTACTTCCAAATCCTCTGTGATGGTTAATTTTAATTGCCAACTTGGTGACATCACCTTGGAGACTAGTCTCTGGATACGCCTGTCAGGGATCATCTAGATTCTGTAAATTGAGGTGGAAAGACACCCCACCTACTGTGGGCAGCACCATTCCCTAGGCTAGGATCATGGACTTTACAAAAGGAGACAACAACCTCATAACCAGCAAGCATTGCCCTCTGCTGTGTTGTGACTTCTCACAGTAATGACCAAACCCCTGAAGATGAGGATCAAAATAAACACTTTCTCCTATAAGTTGCTCTTGATGGGTTGTTTTGCTAGAGTAACAGGAAAAACAGCCAACCCAGACTAAGTAAAACCCAAGTCTCACATTCTTGCCATATCCTTTCTTTGGGTATTTTCCAATAGAAAAGGGCAGCTCCAGTAGCAACTACTGGATAATTGAGTAATTCCCAAAAGTTCATGGGCACAATTACCAGACAATCTTAGAATATCTTAGAAAAATCTTATGTTTCTATACTAAAAATAAATAAAACCAGACATAACAATGAGGTTTACTTCTCAGAGTTGCTCAGCAAGCATCAGGAGACCCTTTTGTGTCTTGGTGAGGGGCATCCTACCCTGTTTGATTACTTTGTTGTGGGAAGACCCTCAGCCTCTCCCTAGAATGGGTCCCAACTCAGATTTCCAGTCTATTATTTCCATCTGGGTTTCGTGTACTCCATGCCACAGTGAAGTTGCTACACATGCACATGCTTATGCTCAAGTGTGACCTGTTCCTTATTGACACCTTAATTTCCCAGCCAGAGCCAAGACCTCCTCCCTGCTCTGCTCTCCTTTGATTATACTACCTGACTGTCTCTCTGGCCAGATCTCAGAATTTATCTCAGAGCAAACCAATTTCTCACTAGGCTGTAAGTGCCAAGTGGTCTCTTCCTTGATTGTATAGAAGGAATATCAAAGTGGGCAGTAGCTAGCACAAAGCAGGTATCTTTCAAACTTTTGTAAGTTTCTCATACAAAGTAAAATGCCTGAGGAGCACTGTGCTGCCAGAGAACTCTGGTTTTTCTGGTGTCTTAATACCTAAAACAATCCAACTCTTCACCATGTGCATAACAAGGCTTTAAAGAAAAAAACAACAACAACTAAAAAACAAAACAAACAAGCAAGCAAGCAAAAAACAGCCAATCCTGAGGCTTCAGAGAATTGCATTCACTGTTGTTCATCATTTGCAGGAGGTGGCACTGTTTCTCTTAGCAAATCCCAGCTCTGATTTGGGAGGGTTTGTGAGTATCCACCAAAATTTCTGCCACTCAATTTTCAGTCTAGTCAATTCATTAGGCAAATCAAGGAGCAGAATAAGGCCCAATCCCTTCCTCTTGATATCTTGCACTCCAACACCTCTTATCATTTCACAAAAATTAAAATTCAACAACAAAATGTGGTTACAAAATAAGTCCTGTAGCAGAAAAAGAACTATAGAATTCAGTGGGACACACATGTACACACACACACACACACACACACACACACACACACAATTTCCTGGCTAGGCAGTGAGAATTGTCCCCAGATCTCAAGGAAAGGAAAAGTATTGGGCATTGAGTGAATCATGTCAATCATGTCTCTCTACTGGAACTTCCATACATGGGAAAAATTCGTATTATCAATTCCACTAAAGGATTTTATATAAGACAAATTTCATTAAAAATTGTAAAGAAGCCATTTGACAGAAATCCAGATTCCTCCAGGGCCAGCATTTCTTGAGATAAAAATACTTGTACACTGGAAATCAGTATGGCAACTCCTCAAGAAAATGGGAATGAGTCTACCATGAGATCCAGTAATTCCATTCTTAGGCATATACCCAAAAGAAGCACATTCATACAACAAGGACATCTGTTCAACGATGTTCATAGCATCACTATTTGTAATAGCCAGAACCTGGAAGCAGCCTAGATGCCCTTCAACTGAAGAATGGATAGAGAAAAATGTACATTTACACAATGGAGTACTATTCAGTGGAATAAAACAATGGAATCTTGAAATTTGCAGGAAAATGGAAGGAACTAGAAGAAACCATTATGAGCGAGGTAACCCAATCACCAAAAGACAAACATGATATGTACTCACTCATGTGTGGATTTTAAACATAGAGTAAAGGATTACCAGCTTACAATTCACACTGCCAGAGAAGCTAGTAAACAAGGAGGACCCTAAGAAAGACATACATGGTCCCCTGGAGAAGGGGAGAGGTCCAAGACCTTCTGAGCAAATTGGGAGCATGGGAAGAGGGGGGAGGGAGCTATGCGAATGAGAAGGGAAGAAGAGGAAGGATGCAGAGGTCATGAGGGAGCAGAAAGGTTGAGTCAGGGGAAGAATAGAAGAAAGGATATGTGATAGGTAGGGTTTTTGTTGGAGGGTGGTAAGGGAGGATGGCAGGGAGAAGGGACCTGGGATTGTCATGTAAAATAATCTTGTTTCTAATTCAAATAAAAAATCTGAAAAAAATAAACAAACAAAAATACTTGTACATGGTTGCATTGTTTTCTCAGGACTGCACTTTGCCTATCAGTACCCAGGTTTGACTTGCCTGGCCATGTAAGACTCTTGAGACTAAGCCCTGCCAACTCAGTGAGAAAGAGGACCCCTTGGTGGCATTAGGAATAAGAACACAGCAGGACTACACTGGGTGTGGGTATGCACCTGCTTGATGTGTCCAGGATAAGCACCCTTCTGTAGAAACAAAATGTTTTGCCTTACTGGAGTAAGTTGGACTGTGTGATCATTTTCTTGGGTCCCTAGATTTGCTTCTAATGTATAGAAACCTTCAAAGTCAGGAATTGGAGAGCTCCCAGGGTAGTGAATATATCAACTCAAGAAACAGAAGCTCCACTCTTCCCCCCTCCTTTTCAGACTTTGATCTATGCATCCTTCATCTAGCTCTTAATCCATGCCCTTTGTAACATCCTTTATAGTAGCCTGGTAATGATTAGAAAAGTGTTTCCTATCTTATCTAAACCATTAAATGAAATTATCTAACTTGAACAGGTTAGGATTGCAACCTCTATTGGTAGCTGATTGGTCAAACAAACTGAATCTGAAGGAGAGACAGTGCTATAAGACTGGGACTTTAACCAGTATGGTCTCATGCTGACTCTAGGTAGACAGTGTTAGAATTAAACTGCATGGTGGATATGCAGTTACTATCAAAGAATTGATGGAGATGAGACAATTCCTCATGCATAGAAGTTCATTCTTCTACACATGCCCCAAAGGGTATGCCATCCTCCTACTTCATGATTCCTAGTGACTTGGAGAATTCATCCAGGCACCATGGTGAATGAGGCATTTGGACTTATTGATCACTAATCTGAGGTCCCTCCCTGGTGCTTCAGTCAACCTCCTCCTTGACGAGCTCAGACTTCTAATCCCTCCTGTAGCCCTACACCTCAGAGTTCAGATCTCAGAGTTCAGACTCTCAGAGTTCAGATCTCTATCACTGCCGCAGTGCAAAAATACAAGGCTTTGGTATTCTCTGAATCCCTAATTTCTAAGTAGCTTCTTCAATAGAGCCCACTAAGATCTTGCTTCCTCCTGAAAAGAATTACCGACATACTACCTGGGGTCCCGAAACCATATAAGATATCTCTGTCCAGATATTATTTTACTTGTGAGCTATTCATTAATGAAAGCCACAATGTGAATAGACTCTTTCCCTGACCTTGTGCTCTTGGGAAAGGGATGACTAAGTCCGCTGTGATGGCCCAGGTACTCACAAGTAATGGAAACTTTCAAATGTGGGCTGAAATGTATCACTTCGTCAACAGGTGCCATAGTTCCTAAGGAGACACTCATGAAAAGGTCATAGAGAAGGAAGGAGGGGAAGGGTTGACTGTTTGACTACACTGCCTTCCAAGAACCTATACTGTGGTGTTTATGTGTATAAGTAAGTGCATATGTAACAGGTGCCCATGCATGTTTATGTTTATGGAGACCCAAAGTTAACATTGGGTATCCTTCTCAGTGGCTCTCACTTTATTCATTGAGACAGGCTCTCTTGCTGAACCCTGAGTATGACAATTCTGACTAGTCCAGCTAGTCTGCTTACCCCTGGGATACCATATTACAGGCAGCCACCAGATTTGGCCTTCCAATTCTTTCATATGAGGGAGATCTGAATTGTGGTTTTCATGCTTGGGCTGCAAACTCCTTATCTTCTGAGTCATCTCCCCAGCCCCTGTTTCTGCTTCACAGATAGAAAAACCAACATTCATAAAGATTAAACAATTTGTCAGCACTATGCTGCAAAGGTCTGTTCTGAGGCCAGCTTCCAGCAATATATTCATTCCATCACTCACTGGGTCAACTAGCTTCCTTCCAATATTAAATTCCTAGTGGTTCTAGCCCACCTTAATGAAGTGTGGTTGCCCCAATCTACAGAAGCAAGTTCTCTGGGGATTGTAAACCATAGCAGGCAATAGAGCAGATGCACATTCATTCTGCACCCACACTCTAAGGACACAACTCTTGCTTGCTTTACAAAGTTGGAACCAAGACCCCAATATGAAATTACTATTTTTCCTGTTGCAAGTTTCTCGAGTCATTGTCCTTCTCCAACTACAATCTAAGAGCCAAGAATAAAATGGACTTTCTTTTGAAACCCAGGGAAAACATGAATAAGTCCTCTTGATTCCCAGATTTTAGTTTGGTTCTCATTTGCTTTACTAATTACAGAAGTCATGGAGGTAAACAGTAAGGTAACACACTCATCCCTAGCTTCACACCAGATGGTGCTCTTACCTATTTGGGATGATTATGCTTTTAGGGACATGGAGATAGCTTTGTCTTGCTTAAGTGGGTTGAAGCCATCAACCACTTAAGTACTGCCCACTTTTGACATCTGCAGATTCCACCCACATACAATGCTAAGGCTGCCATTTCTGAGCCTGTTGCCTGTGGACAACCATGAATTTCCTTTTGTGTGTTCAAAACATGGTGAGTTTTCCTCATTGCCCATCATCTTCACAACTTGGCCTCAGACACCCTCTTTGCTTATGCCACCAAAGCCTTTCAGGACTTTCCTCAGGGTAGCAGATTTGTACCTGTGAAATCACTTTTTCTCATTGGGAAAAGTTGTGGCTTCAGTGACTGGCATGCTGTGTGGCAGACAAAACTAGCTTGGCCCAGAACTATAAGTATATCCCTCTGTTCAGAGTTAGGGTCAGCAGAGTAATTACCTGTAACTCTGAGCACAGCTGAGAGAGTGTTTCTTCAACATCGAGGGCCTCTGGGAAGGAAAAAGAAAGACCACACAGTTAAACAGACCTCATTTCAATGCTGCACTTGCTAACTAAAGGAAAAGGCCTAAATTTCATGCTCTAAATAGTAAAGTTATAGAGAGAAAAAGGCAACTCCAGAGGACTCTCCTAATTAAACTTTGAAGAGAATCAACCTCATTTGACATCATAGATTGAGTACAAGAGGAAACCCATTGTGGACTATGTAGTGTAATTATAAGATTAATTGACCCCTTAGTGTGTCTACCACTTTGTGTGCCCTAAATAACTCTATATTTATTTATGCTTTTCCAGATACATGACCACACACATGTGCACCCATGCACACACACACACACACACACACACACACACACA